TTTCTCTATCACCTGGCCTCATCTCTCTCCTAATGACCCCAAACCCAACAAAACTGAACTCATCATCTCCCCTACCAAACCTATTCCTTTCTGGTGTTTCTAGCCTGAGGATGGTCCCATCGGCCCCTGGCAGCTCTCAACTCAGAAACCCGGGCATCAGCCTTGACTTCTCCTTCTCTCTGACACTCGTGTACAATCAATCATTTTTTCCTGTGAGTTCTTCAGTCTAAAGATGTCTCATAACCCTACTTTTTTCTAGCGCAAACGGCCCCTGCTTTAGCTCAGCCTATTACCATCTCTCATCTAGAAAATTTTGAAAATTTTCTGACTGGTATTCCTACATATAGTCTTGTTCCCTCTCAGATTTATTCACCACACTGCCACCAGAGTGATCATCCTGAAACACAAGTTTAATCATGTTGATTCCGTGCTCAATATGTCCATGGTGTCACCAGAGGCTGAAGTTATAATCTAAATTCCTTAATATGTCATACAAGTCCATTGGTACCAGGAAAGTGCAACTCTGCCCACTTTTCCCCTCATTTCCCAGGACTTCATGCCTCTTTTAATACTGTGGTTATATTGAAATTCTTAGAGCTCTCCAAAAATGTCATGTTCTTTTGTGTCCCTGCATTTCCACATGTGATCTCCCATTTTAAAATAACCTCCGCTATATCACACCTTATCCGCTTGGATATCTCTGACTCCAAAACTCCGCTCAGCTGTCAACCCTTCTGTGAAGCCCAGCTTGACTTCCACTGGCCAGTTAGAGGCTCTTGCTGCTGGTCCAGAGCCCTGTGAACACGCCTCCTTCAGGGCACAAAGCACAGCCAGAGTAGCTTTCTCTTCAGCAGGTGCTTTTCCTCACACCGCTGTAAGCTTCTTGAAGACAAGGATAATGTCTTTTCACACATTTATCTCTGAGTCTAGCACAATGTCTGGTATATATTAGGCACTCAATATATATTCACTGAATGATTAAATCAATATTCGTTCATCCCACCTTGGAAGACCTTTATGGGTGTAGGAATGGAAATATAATATAATGTGCACACACTTATGCAAGGCCGTTGGGCACTTTGAGGAAACACAGGAATGGAAGGGAATGTTGGGTTGCAGATGAGGTAGATATTATATCCCCATTTTACACACGTGTTAACTAAGCACAGAGAGACCACATAACTTGTCCAAGATGACAGCCAGTAAGAGGCAAGCAGAGATTGGGAACCCCAGATCTATCAGACAGAAGCTGGAGCTTCCAAGCCATGCAACCCATCAGAAGAACCCTGGTATCCACTGCCTCACCTTCAGGATTCCCAGCTGTAATGCAGAGAAGACTGGGTACAAGTCATTGGCTATGAGACCTTGAGTCAGTCAACAACCTTTTTTAGGTCTCAGTTTTCTTATCTATAAAATGAGGGTAATAATCCATCTCACCTCCCTCACAGAGCTGAGAGCTGAGGTGAAGTTCAAGTGAGGCCATGCGGTCTTGCTTTGAAAGGCACGGAGGGTGGTGAGAGGTGCCTACGCGGTCGCCATGAAACCATGGTGATGGATGAATTCCTCAACAACATGAGGACAAGCCCAAAGAGGAAGACAGTGTTCTTTCTGCGTACAGGGAGTGTTGGAGTGGTGGGTCGACTGGAGCCCTCGGGTCCGGGTGAGGCTGGTGGCGATGGCTTCCTTCACGAGGTGAGTTTGCTCAGCTCTGAAGGAAAGGAGCCCCGTATTTTGAGGGAGAGAAGAGAAAAGGAAGGAAGAGGCTGTGGAGAGCTCAGGCTGACCTCAGCGCGGGTTGAGAACATGGGAATGTGAAGTGGGCTAAATAGAATAGATCTACCTTCCTGGGATGGGAAATCGGAAATAGTTGTACGTAAAGAATAATCTGCATAGAAATGCACAGCCCCTCACAGCTTCCAAAGCAGTGTCACACCCCTTGGCCATTTGTCCCCAGATGAAGAAACTGAGGCTCAAAGAGGTGAAGTAGTTTGACAAAGATGGCACACCTGCTGTGGAGCATAGCTCAGTTTCCGGCCCAGACTGTCTAACTCAGGGCCTGAATTCACCCACAGGACCATGTTAACTCTAAGCTACACTAAAGAAAAATGATTCATGCCAGGGAGAGGGCGGCAGTGGGTGAGAGTACAGGGAGCTGCTGGAGGTGTGAGCAGGCTGTGCTTGCCTCTCCCCGTGGACACCCAGCTCCCCCCAGTCATGCTGCAGGAGCATCCTGTCTGTCCCCACCCCCATGTCTCACGTCTCAGCAACCATGACCTCCAGCAGGCTGAGGGGATGCCTGCCTCCGGAAGCCCCAACATCCTGCACTCTGCTGAACCCACACGTGTCAGGCAGCCCGTTCCAGCTGCGGCGCTCAGACGACCTGACCTGACAGGCTGGGGCTGAATTACCGGCCCCTCAGCCAGAAATAACCCTCCGAGAAGTGTGTGGTGGCTACGTGTCCACAGGAAGGGGAGGAGGCAGGGCAGGGGAGCCAAGGAGTCCCAGGATCCCGAGATAACCCGGGTCCGGATGTGCATAGTCCCAAACATGGTGGGCTGGCCTGGGTCAGAGGCTGCAAGGAGGTGAGTGGGAACCAGGATGTCTGCTCCCTGACGTGGGCTGCGTGACAAGCCCCAAGCATCCTGAGAGGGTGGGCTGGGTTCCCACAGGCAGCCTTTGAGCACCAATCAGATCAGGTGGACTGTGTGCGCGTACACGTACACACACACACACACACACACACACACACACGGCTCCTCTGCAGTCCTGAGTTTCTATTGTTCCTTCCCTGGGCAGAATCCAGCTTTTGAAGCATTACTGTCTTCCCTAGTTCTGGGCAAAGGCGCAGAGTCGGGTAATAGGAGAAGACAGCAGCCTGGCAAAGGCCTGCAGGCAGAGTCGCTGAGGGCTCTCGACATTGCTCCTTCTCCCCTCACCTAGAAAGGAACAAACATCTTCTAGCTGAATCCCTTTCTTCAACAAAGAACAGACTGAGAATCATAAAGATGAAGATGAGCTTGCCAAAGGCAGACTCCTGCCTCTAAGATCTGCTCTTCCCATTATAGGACATGAGTTGGTAAGGGCAAGATCAGAGCCAGAGACAAAATAATCGTGCAAGGAGTGATTCCAATGAAGAATTCCTTCTTCATACTGTAGGCATGAAGAGGAGTCACCGGCCCTGAGGTGGGGGAAAGTGAAACTATGGGAAGTCAACCTTTCCAGCCCTGGGCCAGCGCTGGGACTAGGGAGGCAAGGATGGATCTGTTTGCGAAGGCCTCATTCAATGCCCAAATGCAGTTTCCTTTATCTCCATAGCATCCCCTTTCCAAGGGTACATGGAGCCACCACACTTTCTCCGTAGTGCCCTGTATTCCAAGTGGCACAAGAGAGTCCTGAGCTACTTGTGCAAAGCAGATCGAAAGAATCACCCACTAGTCACAAAGTAGGCTCAGAATCCAGGCGGCCTGATTCCTCCCAATGAATTCGTTCCAGTGAATAAATGTAAGTGTGGTGTGATGGAAGGGACTCTTGCCGAGGGTCAGAAGGCCGATTCTAACCCTAGGCTCTGCCACTAACGTGGCTGTGTGACCTTGGGCAAGTCACCCCTGGGCCTCAGTTTTCCTCATTGTAAAAACAGGCTGTAATGAGGATCCCCAAGGTTCCCAACCTCCAACTATGAGATTCTATGCTTTTATGACCATATCCAGAGGAAAATGGGGGGAAGAAGAGACCCCTTGATCGCCCTGGTTGGGAGGAATTAGCAGAGGGAGTAAAAGGAAAGAAAATGATGGGGAAAGGGAATGGATTCCGAATTCACAAATCCCCCAGGCTCAGAAAGCTCCAGGTGGGGTTCCGATTCAGAAAGGCACAAAGAGGAGACGTGCGCACGGGGCGAGAAGGCTGGAGAACTCCCACCTCAGCAAGGACTTCGCTCCACGAAGGCTGGCAGCCAAGGGAGCCTGGTCTCATGCTGGCTTGTAGCAGTAACGGCCTCTCCAGGTAGACCACTTCCGTGAGGCACAAGTGAGATAACCGTTACAACAGGATTTTGAAAAGTTAAAAAGCCCTATGTAAGTATAACATAAAAATATATTTTTTTCTTGGAGGGTAGAGAGTGAACAGAAAGAAAGAGGAGTCAAGGGGCCCCCTGGAAGTGACCCTGGAATATGTGTAGGGTTTGGGGGAGGGAGCACAAATTGATCAACTTTACACTGCGAATTCTTAATTCCAAAGCTGTGTCGCCCATGCTCCCCGACCCCAAGTCTGACCTAACTCTGGCTTGGCTCTGCGTGGAACAAACACAACCCTGCTCTTGTCACCCAAAGTGAAGCTTCTGGGGAATCACGCCACAGGCCTGGCCTCCCCAACCTGGGCCACACGTCTGTAGAGGCAGAGGCCAGGAGAGGGCTTCCGGGAAGAAGACGGTGTCAGCGGGAAAGAGGAGGGGTGAGGAATTAAGAGGGAAGGAAGGGAACTCATGGCTGCAGCCATTGACCGGTCACTTGGACTTCTGCGTCCTCTGCTCTCAGGCTCCTCCAGGACCTTCAGTTTACCAGGGTCCCCAGAGCAGTATCCGCAGGGATTGAACCCCTCTGTCCTGCAAAGTAAGCTTCTAGTAACGGCAGCAAAGGTGAAGCAGCCGCGGCACGGATTCTGCAGTATGAAGAGGGTATTTGTATTCGTTTTGGAATGTATAACGAGGGCTCTACTTATATATTTAGATTTACTTTTGAGCAAATCTGTTGGGCTGAGACTGACATTGGAGTGGCCTATAATATTACACTATAAAATATACATCATCATATATACGACAGTAAGTACTCGAGGAAAGGACTCTGCCTTCCTTGAGTTTGTCTCTAATCCAGTGTGGATGTTATAAGCCACGCAGGAGGAGAGAAGCAAGTCCACCAGCAGAGAAGTGAAACCCTTCCACTCCCCATCCACAGGTGGGTGCCTCCCAGGCTACCAGGTCTAGTGTAGCAGACGATAAAGCAGACAACCTGAGGGGGTTGGAAGACAGGACAGTGTCCTACCCCCCGAGAAACTCCCAGACAGGGATGTCTGGAAGGCACTTTAGGGGGTATTTCCTCCACACATCCCCCCTCCCCAATTTACAGCTGGGACACTTAGGTGCAGAGAGTAGAAGTGACGTGTCTAAGGTTACACACATAGATTTTCTACAAAATGACTTCCACTTTTGACAGGGAAGCGGATTCATGTGATGGGGGTCGGTGAGAGATGTGCTCATGTCTTATTTTAAAGGAATGAAAGGTGACTAGCTGTACACAGGGAAATATATGCTGGTTTCACGCATTTCACTTTTCTGATCCTGGAATGAGCTGTTCCAGGTAGTGATTAAATTTTGACACGTTGAGGAAGACACTATTGCTGAGTTTTGCTTTTTTTTAATAGATTTTATTCTTTAGAGCAGTTATAAGTTAACGAAAGAGTTAAACAGAAATTACAGAGAGTTCCCATACACCCGCTCTCCCCGCCATGCACACAACTTCCCCATCATCAACATTTTGCATTAGGGTGGAATATTTGTTACAACTGATGCGCCGATGTTGACACGTGATTATTAACTGAAGTCCGCAGTTTACATTAGGGTTTGCCCTTTGTGTGTATAGTTCTGTGGGGTTTGACAAATGCATGACGGCATGTATCCACCTTTACAGTATCGTACAGAATCGTTTCACTGCCCTAAAGACCCCCTGCGCCCCAGTTCTTTGCTTTGTGCCCCCCCAGCACCCAGCTCTCCTCACTGTGCGGCGTCTCGCCTACCCACAATGCACCAGTGACACCTACCCACGAAGGCCAGCACAGAGTGACACAGCCCATCAACTGTGCGTGTTCAGCTCTGGCCTGACAGCTGGCCGAGCCGTGCTCAACGTGCAAAGCATTTGCTCCTGAGCGATGCTCTGGGTCATAACAAGTCCTGAGGCTCTCCTGCTTCTTCTCATTTCCAGCCAGTTTTTGTTCACTGTTCTGGCATCAGCTCCTTTTCAGTCACTGTCTCTCAGATCTCCCTTCTGATGTCACTCAGAATTCTTATACTCAGTGTGGCTGTTTTATACTCTGGAAAAACTTTAAACCTCTAAGCAAATGAACATTTGGACATGTATAGTTTTAATAACTAAGTACTCTCAAACATTTGCTACCCTTATAAAAAAAACCTTTTATGCTCTGTATTAAGTTCAAAATAGGTGGCAAAGTTTAATGTTACACATTTGAAAATGGAAGCTTATATTCAAAAGGGCTAGGTAAACAGCTCTTGGATGCCTAGCCTTCTCATCAAGTCGTGAGCGACCCATCCGTGTCAACATTTACAAACTTGCCAGATCGCTGGAAGCTGGGGTTTCACCAGAAGGAGGGGTGGGGGGAACTTGGAGAAGCACCTCGACATTTTACGTGGGTTTGAACTCCTCTCCAGGCCTTGATGTCCACTCCACCTGAGCTCCAGGTGCCCTCGCCCAGAGTGTTGCAGAAGCGCCTCCCCTGGAGACTAGCCCTTCCATGAGCTTCTATTTTGGAGAGGCTACCACACTAGAACAAGCTGGAAACTTTGTCTTGGGGAGGAGAAATGGAAGCATCTCAATTGGAGGGAAAGAGGGAAAAGGAGGAGATTGCCCTGTGGGGGGTCGGTTCTAGACTTCCTAGCCCACCCCCCAGGACTGTTGGGAGCACCAAACGAGACAGCAGGTGTGAATGTGCCCTGTGGGCTGTGAGGGGCTGGACAAATCCACAGTACGCTCTGTGCTTGTGCTGCCTTGTTGAAGAGCAAAACTGTACTTTTTCATTCCTAGGCTTCTCTCAGGATTTTCTACAAAGCGCTAGCCATAAAAATAGGCTTTCTCTAAATAGTTATATGTTGGTTGAGTGGATATATCAGAACAAGCAAGAATCTGATTACATGTAAGGAAGCACATTTTAACTGTCAGGAGAACCAGATATGGCAACGGCATTTTCAGGAAGACAACTCTGGGAAGAGAAGAAACCACCATTTGTCCCTGGATGGCTTAGACACCCAGCTGCCCAAACCTAGGGATTGGATGAGCCGGATGACAGTGAAACCGTTACTGAAACAATGGAGACAAATCGTGAAGTGGTAGGAATAGGGAGCAGAGGCCTACCAGGTCCTACCATGGGCAGCTGGAGCCTTTCGACAGAGTCTCAAAAAGAAAGGAAAACTGCGAGCCGCCCAAGACTGCCTCCCTGTCTCCAGCTTTTCCTTTCACCTCGATGCCTCCAGCATTTTTTCATCATAGCCTAATAACAGTCAAGACAATCTTATCTCCCAAAATTGTTGAAAAGTCTTCACATTGAGAGAACACGATGTGGGGAACATAGTCCTCCTTAGCACCTTCTTCGAGAGGACTGAGAAAAAGAAGTCAGGGGATGAGGGAAAGGAATGGGATTGTGGGAATATAGATTCCTGTAGCCCCTAGTCCATATTTAGAGCCTTGATTCCCCGTTTGTAAATGCAGGGACTGGACCAGAGGCCTCCACGCAGCCCCCAGGGCAAATTCTCCTAAAGCCGGAGCAGGGGCTGGGGGGCAGGCTGGAGAAGAGTGGGTGCCCCCACCTGCCGCCTACCAAGCAGCCACCAGGGCACTAGGGACAGTGATATTTGAAAACCACAAACCACTGGGCTCCTCCCTGGGCTTCCTGCTCCCATCAGTGTTTCACATTTGGCTCCAAGGTCACACTAGCTCCCAGATCCTCCGCCCTGAACTATGACAGATGAGTGCCCCCTACACACAAAGAATAGAAACCGACTTGCCCTGGGCCCTCCCTTCCTTCACCCTCTGAAGCTTCTGAGAGACGCCACACCCACCAGGCTCAAGGAAAAGGCTGCTCAAAGGCACAGTGTACTGATTTGGTGTTCATCACTAAATTTCCTAGAAAGGCCCATTGACACCTTCACTGCCCAATTAGTCTGGAAATCCAGGATTGGAATGGCAGGTGGAGAAGGGGCCTTGGTCTCCACATACTAGTTCCAGGACATGGTTGGGATGCAAACTCAGTTTCTTGATAAGTACTTTAGTGTCATTAACATCTAGTGTGGGAGATTAGACTCTCCAAGGTAGCTTTGGAAAAAGTGCAAATAGCTGGGCTTTTCCCCTACGTGTTCAGCAGGTCTCAGATTAGACCTGGGGTCCTTATAGTGATTCCAATGGGCAGCCGGCGTTGGAGCCCACTGGTAGGGATTTCAACCACGAGCTGGAAGTTCTGCTGTCTGTGTGCTAACGGGCAAATCCTCGTCTCCACTCTGTTTTTCGATATCTCAGGTGGGAAGAATTATTCTGAGAGTGTTGTACCTTCCTTTGTTCTTGTCAAGCGCGGAATGCTTCTCTCCTCATTCCCTTCAGAAATAAACCTACTCGCCTGGCTGTCCTCTGGCTTCAGATCCAGCTGCTAGGCTTTCCGGGCTTCTTCTTGGAGGGAAGTCTTTGGAAGCGAGTAAGCTGGCACATCAATTCTCCTTCCTAATAAGACAAGCTGAAGTGGCCAGAGAGGGACCCCCTCAGTCACTCCAGGAATGGAGCAATGACCGTGTCCTCCTCCGCACCGTGCCGCGGTGGGTACTGGGAAACGCTCTCCCCCATCTGACAAGGCTCCCTCAAGCCTCTCTTCCCTCCCAGTCCTCCTTGACCACAGCGTCCACCCTCTGAGATCGCCCCCTTTTCTGAACACCCTTAGCATTTCTCACACATCTAGTAATTTAGCTCCTCTCAGACACGCCTTGTATTGAACAAAGTTTTTCTCTGCTCAGTTGTGTTACAAGCCCCTTGAGGGTAAGTTTCTTCTGCTTTTTATTCCTCTAAGTCCCTCCTCCCTTCTCTCCTGCCCAGAGAAGTTTCTCAATACCTGCTGATTGTTTCCCAAGTACTTCCCACCCCTACCACTCGAAACCAAAGAGGAAATGTAGGGGCATCAATTGGCAAATTTTCCTGAATAATTCGCATTTCAATTCTGAAAGCTAGCTATTTCTTCATTAGCTAAGATGTGGTACTACATTTATGAACCATCCTGTGATCATTATTAAAGAAGATTGTCTTATACGTAAGCATTTAAACGTCCTAAATCTTCTGTCTAACCAGGGGAGACAATACTGTACCTTAGAGACACATCCCGGATTTACTAGAGAAAAGGCAAAGAGCGGTATCGGTTTGTAACCGCCTCACTGCTCCCTGCACTTTCTTACCAAGCTCCCCGCTCTCACGGCGTCAGCCCTGACGCTTCGTGGGGTTTGTACGCCTAGCAGTGCTGAGGAGGTCTGCAGGCAGACTACTCAGGCTCAGATGCAACCTCTTCCACGTGCTAGCTGCACATCCTGGGGCACGTTACCTAAACCATGGGCATCAGTTTCCTCACCTCTTAACGGAAACAGAAGCACCTCCTCACAGGGTCATTGTGAAGACAAAATGGGTTACTGCGAGGAAAGCACTTAGTAGGCTCTCAATAAGCATTAGCTGTCACCATGATCATTATGCAGAAGCAGCCTCAGGAGCCAGAGACCTTGTCCTAGCTCTCTCATTTATTTGCTTTGTGACTTTGGACATACAAACCCCAAGGTCTCCATTTCTTCAGGTATAACGTTAAAATATTGATAATGCCTGGTGTACCTGCCTCACAGAGCTGCAGTGAGATTCAAATGAGCTAATACATGGGAAAATGCAGGAGAGCAAATGGCCCCTCTTTTCACCTGCACCTGTATGATCGCACAGCCCAGCGCGCTTTGTAGGATGGTTACTTATTTTTATCCGCCTCCTCAATCAGCTTGTGGGCTCCTTGAAGCAAGGATCCCATCTTACTCTCTCTTCTGTCAACCATGATGCCTGATTATGCACGTGATATGTACTCAGGAAATGGGGAACTGGAAGGGCAGCAGTCTCCTTGTGTGTATATTTTCCCAGGATGTGTTCCAGTAGCGTGCTTCCCATTGGACTGCATGTGCTAGGGCTAGCCCCTCACATCAGATGTAGCTCCCAGAAGGCACATCTGTGAGCAGCATCTGTAAGAAGGCATCTAGTCCCAGGAGCCAGGCACCCAGTAGGCATAATGTGGGGACACCCTGGCCTGCTGCTCTGCCCCTGGGACCTTCCTGGGCTCTGATCCCCTGCGCTCAGCCAGCAGTCTTTCAATCTTCATGAGGGTCTCTGAATTCATCTCCATACTATTGGAGAGACCATAAAAGCAGTTTAGTTGCCATAGACAGTCCAAATGAGGGACACTGAGAAATCCAATCTCAGCATTTTATACAGCAGCAGTGACTTGAAGACCTTGTTTTCTTTCTTCCCATTTTGAAGTCTTCCCAAGGAGGCAACTTTGGTTTTTGTGCCTCTGCTCACAGCTCCCATATCTTTATTAAGAGGTAGTCTTGGGGCATGCCATTTGCCTGATGGTGTCCTGTATTATTTCAGTATCCTTCAAAACACTCACCTAGTGCTGTGTACAGAGAAAGCACTGGATACACAGTTCCCAATTGGAATGAAAAGGACTGAGAAAACCAAAATGAGTGGACTCAATGGGAGATTAATTGCATAGGAGTCTGCTGACGGCGTGGCTGAAGCCAGATTTTTTTCGGAACCGCTGACTGCCTTCACATTTCCTGGTGGAAGTGGGACAGGTCAACAGACAACACAGAGTCCTAGATAACTTTTGCCCACACATCATTCACTTTGTGGAGCGTTGGCTTGAAATTGAGGGGTGTGTGTGTGTCTGGAACCGACGTGCCTTCCGTGAGACTCAGAGGTCTCTGCACTCTCTTCAAATGGGCTGATTACAACACAGAGGATGTGGACAGTGGAGTTTTTCCTGTTTGATGTCACACTGCTACCCTTTAAAAGTCCAAGGGAAAAAAGGAGGGAATTCAGCCTAGGATCCTCAGGCCAGATAGCCACAAGGAAGAAGAGGAGAAAAAGGCCAGTGAGGCACAGCTGCGGAGTCCAGGAGGCAGTGTCAGGTTTCAAACTCCGTGCCAGCCATTCAGAGAGCAGCGATGTCAGGGCCCTGCCTTGGGCTCCTGGTCTACGTCCTGTGCTCCGCAGTGAAAGCCTATCCCAACGCCTCCCCGCTGCTAGACTCCAGCTGGGGCAGCCTGACCCACCTGTACACGGCCACAGCCAGGAACAGCTACCACCTGCAGATCCACAAGGATGGCCACGTGGATGGCACACCCCATCAGACCATCTACAGTGAGTAGGGGCTTCATTCAGGCTGGGAATAAGGGGGAGCTCCTCTGTCCATTCATCTGCAATGGACGTGGAGAGGCCTGGGGCTGGACCAGAAGGCTAACCCAGCCTCCTAGTTTCTTGCCCAGGATCCACTTATTTATGTGTGCGTGTGTGTGGTGTTCAAACCTTGGGAGAAGACTCTGCCACCTCCCTAATTAGTGTTTACTGGTTTCTCCCAGAATGAATAATTTCTAACTTAACAAAAATCCCTCTTCCCACAATACAGCCACTTTCTCTTGATCCTGTCCAAAGAGTCAAAAAATGTGCTGAAAGAAAGGCAAGGAGGCTGAGAGGCGAAGAAACCAGGTAGCTCATTAGACACTGGGTTTTACCTCATGAACTTTGGACTGGGTTAACAATGGAGGTTGTAAAGAAGATTCCGGTATCAGACCAAGGACTGAAACAGACGAACTCAGGGGCTCTTTCCAACTCTGAGCTTCTAGTATTCTAGCCTTATAAAAATTCTCGGGAAAAATGTGCTAAAGACAGACTGTTCAGGTATGTTGTCTTGGTGAGTCTGACCAACTGCATGAACCATCCATGCATTCACCTGTCCATGCATCCACGCATCCTTCCATCCAACAGGTTTACTGGGGGCTTCAGAAGTACCCAGTTTGGTATGAGTTGGTGATTCATCTCTGCGGAGCTGAAAGTTCCACTCAGCAGCAAATTGAGGTTGTTGGGAACTCCTTGGCAACATGAGACAACTGGAATGTTTTAAAGACTAGATTTTTGGCAAGTTGGATCACAATCCACAATAGTCAATCAATTAGCTATGATTCAAATGAGGGCTCCTTGGTGTGCACCTATATAAGGGATAATGACGTAGGAGGCAGGATAGATACTGAAAAAGACAAGGTCTTCTATTTTAGAAGAACATCTAAAAATTACTCTAAGTATACGGAAAAATGCAAACTGATTCAATATAGATCAAATTAAAGGAATGAAAGAGTAATCATAGTCTTTGTTTAACTAAACAAAATTTCTTATAGGAATAATGATTTGCCCTATATTGTTGTACTAAATTAATCAGTAATTTTGCTGTGGCCTTTCTGTGTAAGACATTCAGTATGCTAAGACTCAAAGGTCCTTAAACCTGGGAGCAAGATATATGCAACTGCAAAGCCGACAGTTCACCCCCTCCAGGTGCTCAATGGATGGTGAGAGGAAATGAGAGGAGGGAGAGAGGGTCTCTCCAAATACCAAACGGGTTCTAGAGCTCAAAGGGATACAGTAGGGATCTGGAGTCAATATCTTGGGAGCCAAGTCTGAGTCATTAGATATAAGTCTGGATACATGTGATGCATCCAAAGTGTTGCTCGTTTTTTTCAAAGGATATTTAACAGAATCTCCAATGCGTCCGCCATTGTTTGAAGCTCTGTGACTGCAAAAGAAGACATGGCCTTTCAGGCACCTCACGTCTTTCACTCCTTCTTGTCGCCCAGCTCACTGTCAGACTTTAGGGAATATAATTTGGGACCTCTCATGGGGGGGCACCCTTACTTCCACTGCAACATGATAGGAGATTTAAAATGTGTGATAGTGGGTTCTGGTAAATTATTGTGATTCGCATAGATGGAAGGGGCTTCATACAACTAAAGAATGCTCATAAAACTTGTCTAGAATCATGGAATCCCTTCACCGAATGAACCCGGCAAAGACGCATCCCTCCGGACAAGACATAGAGCACAGCAGTGCGGCAGTGCGACCTGCTGCGTGGGCTGTGAGTAGCACCAAATTGTAGAACTTTTCCCTCAAATATCCACCGGCATCAGGCCCAGAGGAGGCAGGCGCTCAGTCCTAGCTGGAATGAATTAAAGTGACTGGGAAGAAGCAGGTCTGAAGATTTTTTTTTTTTTTATAGAAATGTGATTTTGTTTTGTCAGTTACAGACACTAGCTAAGCATCGTGTGCCTGTGGAAATCAACACAAACCTGGGAAGGGGAACCAGGGTCAGCATGGTGGGAGGGAGACACTTTTCCTAGTTTATATCACCTTTTGTATGATTCAAATCAGCTATCGTGTGTATTACCAGAGAAAATGTATACACTAAGAGAAAAAGTTACCAGAAAAGGACAGAGGAAACATTGATGCACGTAGATGGGTGGCGCAACTAGTTAACAGATTGGTGAAGGATCTGTAATCCCCTCCTCAGGGAACATAAAGCAACGCTTTCACGCTGGTGGAGAGGTGTGGGGTGTTTTTTTCCCTCTTAATTAATTATACATTTCTAGTGAAATCTGGTTCATTGATTATTGTGCTTTAGGAAATTCTTGATTAGTACTGGAGTGCCCAAACCCTCTTTGGGTTTTGTGACGTTATCTGCCTACCAGATTCTAGGGCCACCCTTGGGACTGACAGCGCCGAGGTGAGGGAGCCTCTCCAGTGTCTGCGTCTCCTGCCCACTATGAACGAGGCCACCCCCACGCCCCGTTATCCTCACTTTGTGCAAACAGCAGAAAGGCGATGCTCGTGACTCCTGGTTAATACACTTCCTAGATCCTGATATCTTGACTTCCTCCACCTTCCCCACTGGCGCTTTCTTTACTTGAAGCTGAATTATCCTCTGGCTCTTCAACCCTTCAAAATATTATCTTTCTTTTGGGGAGCTTGAATCACTTTATATCTACTGCCTTATTTGTCATTGACCGGCCATGAGAATAGAATGGGTCAGGTAATTTTCTACTTTCATAGCAGAGGTTGAGGTGAAGTGGCAATAGCAAAAATTATTAGTACTTAGAAAGTGCGTTTATAGTGGATAAAAATATTACCTCATTACATCCTCAAGACGACCAAATGAGATAAGTGATGGTACTACATAGAGAAAACAAAGGTGGAAGAATGTAAATAACTGGCTCAAGGTCACATAGTTAGTAAATGACCTAAAGGACACCTTGACCCCAATCCGTTGCTTCTTCCAGAGTCACATGCACGGACACTGGCCGTCACTGAAGGAAATGTCTCTTAAGTCTGCCTCGCTCTAACAGGTTGTGGCTCCGGCAGCCAGCGATTTGTGCTTTCCTTCTGTCAAATTCCGCCCTTGATTCTGTGACACTGGAAACCTGCCTTCTGAAACTGCAAAGGGAACAAAATCTGTCTCTTATTTTCTGAACTTCCACACTGGCTCATGCTGGTTTGATACATCCGTTCATCCTCTGTAGCAGCTGCTCGCTCTTCTTCTGCAGGCTGTTTTCTGTTGGGACTGGGCCTGGCAACCGGGAGCACGTGTACCATGCACACTGCCCACACTGACCCCAGCATCTGGCTGGCATGACTGCGAGGTCTGGGCTTGTCACAGACGAGAGGTCAGCACATACTATACGTATCCCACGCGCTTCACACTTTCGAGTCACTTTTACAACCATCACTCCATTCGATTCTAACTGTAATCCTGTGAAGTAGGCAGGACGGCTTCTATTATTCTCTCTTTACAGCTGACGAAACTGAGCGATGACTTGCCCATGGCCACAAAGTTAGTGAGCAGCAAAACTGGGACCAGAATCCAAGTGCCCTGGTTCCTGGTCCAGTGCCCCTTCTGTGACCCACTCGGGGGCACTGCAACTTGGGGTTCTTGTGCCTGCGGGCATGAATTCTGGCACTTGGTTTTGTCTTCTCATACTTGTAATGACTTCTGTGGGAGGCAAACTGTAGGGTCATGGCAAGAGGATTCAGGAAACTGACCTGACTTTGAATCCTGCCTTAGTTTCCTTGTCACTTAAATTGGGATACTGAGACCACCAATATTAATACTAATGATAGTAACGATATAACCATTGCCTTGAAAATTTAAATATGTACTCAGAACCCAATCACTCAAAACCAGTTACTAAGTGTAATGTTTTCCCCAATTAGACTGAAAAATTCATCAGGACAGAAACTATTTCTTACATGTTCCTTATGTTTCTCTCAGGGCTTACCATAAAATTAGCCACATATGTGAGACATGCAGGGAGACCCCATTTGGGGATAATTTAAATATCCTCTACACCTCCCATGCTCTACTCCACTTCCAGAAGCTTCCCTCAAGGCTAACCCTCAGCCAAACTTTGAAACAAATTAACTTTTCTCTTGGGCCCTCTCCCCTTCTCTTCTTTCTGGGCCTGCTCCCATCCTCACTCTCTCTGTCCCACATCATTCCAGTTTCAGTCCATATCAGGCTCTATACTCAGCTAGCGGGCCTGCTCCTCTCCTTGGAGGTCTTCGTATTGAGCGTACGTGGGGCAGGGGAGGAGACTCAGGCTGTAAACCAGGCCATGAGGATGATGGGCATTTACAACCTCTCCACACTTCATCTCTAGAAGAGGGATCTGAACCCCTGCCTGGGCTACCTCCCTGGGGGCTATGAGGCCAAGTGAGACGCATGTGGAAATGCTCTGGTAGGCAAATGAGAGTGGCCCCAAAGACTTAAAGAAATGATTTTCAACAGAAAATGTCAGATAATTAAACAGCATTTGGAGCAAAAAAGTCTTGCTGAATTGGACCCTTGCCACAAAACAGAAAGCTTTAGATTTTATTTAACAAGACATTGGTACTTGTTAAAATTGCAAGTCCCCACGGGGAGCGGGAGGGAGCCACAGTTAAAGCCGTTATCAATTATTTAAGGCGTGGCTAGTATGATTGGGCTTCAGGCTCTTGTTGGAGACTAGTTTTGAGTGGGGCGATTGAAAGACCATAAAAGACTGCACCTGGAGGGGACACCACCAAGTGAGAAAAGGACAGAGAACAGCGATAAAAACCCAAGAAAATTCCATGCATCCCCGGTATCTATCCAACATGGAAAGATCAACCCTCTGCTCCTAAGTAGCTCACTTTAGGGGAGGCACAAGATACATAAACTTGGCTAAAGCAAGGTGAATGATAGCCATGCTGTAAGAGAGGTGTAGGCACTGTGCTGAGGGAGCCGAGAAGAAAGAACACTTAATTCTGATTAGGGAGATCAGGAAAGTCTTCATAGAAATGGTGACTGGCCTGGCCTTGGAGGATGGGTGACTTCAGTAAACAGAGAAGGGAGAGGAAGATCAATTCGAATACATACGATTCCAATATGGCAGACTATTACACAGCTACGTGGGTGGACATCAGACTCCACATGCAAGCTGGATCTTTGAAAGACACCTTGGCATAGACTTAAAAATCGCAAAAGCAGAAGGCTTGGAAGAATGTGACCACCACCAGAAACATTAAGAGGGATTAGCCAGGCAAAGGGGAAAATAAAGGCAGTCCAGGCAGAGAGATAAAGGTGTACAGCACAGGAGAGAGATGCCAGAGTTCAGAGTGCTCCCTGCAGGCAGGAGGATGCAGCAGGAGGCAAATGTGGGTGGTGGGGATTGGAGAGGAAGGGGAGCCAGAAGAATCAGGCTGAATAAGTAAGTATAAGGGGAGGGTTAAGTGGAATCATCACTGCCCTAAAACTCAATCACGGGAGGTTTCATGAATGTGGGTTTTCAGGAAGTGCTGGAACGTGGAAACTGGATGCGCAGCAAGCCTTGACCTGAGTAATTTTCTCCGTAGGTGCCCTGATGATCAGATCAGAGGATGCTGGCTTTGTGGTGATAACAGGTGTGATGAGCAGGAGATACCTCTGCATGGACTTCAGAGGAAACATTTTTGGATCAGTGAGTTTCTTTTTGTGCTGGTCACCATTGGCAAATAATTAATTTCTTTGACAGAACATATAGTGTTATAACCTAAAGATTCCATTTGCAGTTTTCACTATGCACTTTATTCAGCCTAGGGACTAAATGTTCAGGTTTATACAGCTGGGGTGTGAGCCCGGGGCTCTCAGCCTCTAGTCTGAACCGCCTGTTGGTACCCACGTTTGTGTCTAGCACAGCTCCAGGTCATCTAGTCACGCCAATTCATGTTGTAAAGTACAACAGAAAGTGTGGGAAGCCATTGGGGTCTTCCTGATTCTGTTGCTAGACCTCCGTGACCTTGGGCAAGTCCCCTCACTTCTATAAACTTCAGCTTCCTCACCTGGAAAAAGTGAAGTGGGATGGACCACGTGCCCTGGGGGGCTCCCTCCAGTTAAAGACGTCTAATTAACCATTTCTGCCCCAGCTGTGACGGCTGCTCCTTCAGATTGGTAAGCAAAGGATTTCCCAAGCTACAGGTTGCAGGCTTACTCCAAAGGATTTTGAGATAGTAAAATAGTTGGACTGCTTATCCCCGGAGCCTCCTGCCACCCAACAGGCCACTAGAAATTCCACAAGGGCAACGGCTTTCCGTTTGGCTTACTGCTGTGTCCCAGCACGTGTAACAGTAGATAAATATTTATTGAACAAATATAGACAATCAATCAATCAATCAGTGTCTGTTCACCACATAGAGGCACACGGATAGTGCTCATCTGTAACATACTTCGGAGTTTGAGCAGCAGGCGCTCACTAAAACCTGGTACTGGTGAGCAGCAGAGTGAGGGCTCAGACCTAGGCCATCTGTGGCGGAAGTCCATTCCCTAATTCCCAAACCATACTCTCTTTCTGATGGGAGTAACCTCATTTATGTTTGAGCCTACAAACCCCATCCCATCTCCTCTCTCCAGGTAAGGAGACAGACTCAAGCCCCCTTTCAGCCAAAACAGGGTTCCAAAAGGCAGAGCGGGAAGGACGAGGTCGCGTGTAAGGGAGCCCTCCCTCCGGAGCCGCACTCACCTGGGCCCGGCAAGCCCCGGAGGCCGGCGGGGTCTCCAGGCAGGCCTGCGAGGCCCTCGTGGTCGCCGCTCCTGGGAGAGGCATCTGTGCTCGGTGTGGGGCGATTTGGGAAGCACTCGTCAGAAGCACTCTTCCCCGCAGGGCACGACGGGGTGAAAGACACCTACCTGTAGGGTTGTTGCTGGGGGAGGGTGGGGGGAGCCGGGCACAGCGCCAGCCGACCTCAGGGCCGCAGGCTGGCTGGCAGGAGCGCACGGCCCGGTCGGCCGCCCTCACCGGGCCCGCTTGTCCTTCCAGCATCACTTCAGCCCCGAGAGCTGCAGCTTCCGACAGCGGACGCTGGAGAACGGCTACGACGTGTACCACTCGCCGCAGCATCGCTTCCTCGTCAGCCTGGGCCGCGCCAAGAGGGCCTTCCTGCCCGGCACGAACCCCCCGCCCTACTCGCAGTTCCTGTCCCGGAGGAACGAGATCCCCCTGGTCCACTTCAACACCCCGCGGCCGCGGCGGCACACGCGCAGCGCCGAGGACAACTCGGAGCGCGACCCGCTGAACGTGCTGAAGCCCCGGCCCCGCATGACCCCCGCGCCGGCCTCCTGCTCCCAGGAGCTCCCGAGCGCCGAGGACAACAGCGTGCTGGCCAGCGACCCCTTAGGGGTGGTCCGTGGCAACAGGGTGAACACGCACGCGGGGGGCGCGGGCGTGGAGCGCTGCCGCCCCTTCCCCAAGTTCTTCTAGGGGAACCAGAAAGGAATCCTTTCCAACCCATCTTTCAGAAAACTGCCTCTAAAGGGACCAGCTCCCTTTGCACTGCAAGGAAGGGGGAGGGAGTCTGGGGGAGGGGGAACATGTGGAATTAGCTTCTCCTCCCCATTCGCTTCCCCTGAGGGTCTGCTTTGAGCCCTGAGAAACGGGAGTTTAACGGCCGTCCCCACCCGGCCTGTACCACCCTCCTGAATTAAGCCCCAATAGGTAAATTAGAAATTTCCCCTTCATTAAGGAGAAGGGATTCTGACCCCCGGTATTTCTCTTCCTAATGCCCCTTTTCTTTATCAGTTTAACACTAAAACCAAAGCAATGGCTTAGTGAGTTCACCACTTTGAAGGTGAAGGAAGAGCCAATGCCAGCAGCTTCTCCCCTGCTCCGTGCATTTATTTATATTATCTGCCTGGGCCCTGCCAGCATTCGAGTTTGCAACCTTGACCTAGGGCGTTACAGCTGAACTGAGCAAACTGATGAAAATCCTAATCTCAAACCTTTGTTCTTCCTTGAGCATCTCTGGAGAAGAGCTGTCAAAAAGACTGCTGGCAGGCTGTCAGAACTTAACTAGAATGCTTGGAGAACTGAGGCCGAAATCAAGCTAGAAAACTCAACCTCCCTGTAGGGTGGGCACCCCTTGCCGCGCTCTCTCCCTCTGTGCAGCCAGTCAGAGGGCCGAGAATGGGAACAAAGGGCTCTGTTCCCAAGCGGCCCATGACCCAGCCTTGCCTCTTGGCGCCATCTTTGGCACTAGTGAATTTGGCCTGAGGAGGAGCTTTGGTACTGGCTCAGGAAACTACCCTGCTGGGAAGAGGAAGTACATTCAAACTCTCCCAGGAGACATTTAATTAAGCCTCTACTTCCAGGTTGAGTAGTAATCCATTCTGGATGAATTACACAAATGTTACGGGGGGGGGGGGGGGGGGATCTTGAGACAATGGGACTGTTTCGAGTTAGAGTTTCTGTGGACTGGCAAATTGCGTGCTTTTGTCTAGTGAAGTGGCATCAAGGACTCAGGGGGAGAAGTCCAATAACCAGGGACCACAATGCAGGAGGTACGAAAGGACAACTCGGTCACAGCTCTTATCTCTTGACCATCCTGCAGCAGTGGCTAGAGGATTAGGTAAAACTCTCCTAGGCTGACACATGTGGGTCTTAATCCCCTTGGGAATACTCGGAGCATTAAATGAAGACAGCTTTCAGTCCCAGGAGCGCCAGTGCTACTCTGAGGAAAACAAAACCTCACTTAGCAGCTGAGCAGCACACGACAGGCAGGACTGCTGCTCAGCCCTCACCCAAGCCTGCCCCGTGACTTAGGTCTTCCTATAAGGGGGCCTCATTTCCTACCTCTATTTAAACGGCCAACTAGTGAGCAGAACATTAACAAGCAAGCTAGATCAAAACAACAGCTTCTCTCCAGGTACCTTTTCTTTTCCACTGCCAGCATGCACCCAGCCTTAGAAATCGATCCATTCGTTTTACTTAGGAATCATTACACAACTGTTTTCACCTGATGGTTTGAAGCTGAACTTGAAGGACTAGTTCCTATTCTGAAACACTAAAACTATGCATACTACTATATAGCAGTGCATGGCAAGTATTTTCTTTATATGGTTTTCATTTCCCACTGGAGACATTATACGTATAACAGCTATTAGAAGCCCCCAGTACTGACAACTAGATGGAAAATCCCAAAAGGGCTTTGGCAGAAAACTGGTTGTAATCTCACAAACTCAATACTATTTATCAGAACTCTCTCTTTGGCAAAGCCAAGGTAGCCCCCACAATCTCCTATGTCCCTTAGCATGTGGCAATATTTATTTATTTATTTGGAAGATTTTGCCTATCGCTCTATATTTATAGATATTTATAAAAATGTAACCTCACCTTTTTCCTTCTTCTGTTTAAAAGAAAAATAAAATTATCCCAGCTTCTGTTAGCTTTTAATCTCTGTATTCTTTCATCCAGCATATGAAAATAAAAGGGATTATGGAAGGGGAGCATTGGGGCCATCCAGAGAAAGTGAAATTGAAAAAACAATCAGAATTTTTAAATATTCGAAGTTTTTTCCCTTCATAAGTGGACTCAGCAAATTTGGCTAATCCAGGCTGTATTACTGAAAACAAAGAAATTTTTTAAATCAATATTGGATTTCTGATCACTCTAGCTCTAAAGTGTTTCAAGAAAGTAATCTTTCTATTTGAAAAATATTCAGACATAACCACATCAATATTCCAGTGAACCAGATGCTACACACTTACACACAGTGTCACTGCCCAGTGAGACTTGATAGCAGGACACTAAGATAATGAATCCACGTCTTCCACTTCTGAATTTGGTACCCCCAGAATTCCTTCTTTAATGTCTACCTGATCAGCTACCAAAATACAGGAAGCAAAGATGCTTTCTATACATCTACAGCTTTCTGGATTCAAATTTGCATCAGTTCAAGCCTATAGTTAGTTTTTCATTACGTGACTATAGAACTTAGTGTGGGCTTCACTATTTTGACTGGTGTTCAAGTGACCGTCTGACGAAGTCTCCTGAGGGGACTGTCTTCCGATTCGGTCCCTCTGAGTGCCAAGGTCCTCTGAGCAATAGAGAAGGGCGACGGGTAGCATGAGGACAGGTACAGAAGTACAGGTCAAATGCTCTGTTTCTTTGATTACATAAAACAGAATTATCAAAGGCAGATTATTGTTTTTAAAGTTCTCTCCAGTTTCTTTTCTTTCCCTTTTTTTTTTTTAAATAGATAACTTGGCCTCTGCTTATAAGGTTCATCCCTCCACAGTATTTCAGAAATAAAGGGCAGAAGGAGCAAGGGAATCTGAAGTTTTATTTCTGGTCCGAAGGATTTTAACATGTGATAAGCCATAGGAATGGAGCAGTACCAAAATAACCATTTGGAAATAAACAGGCCTTCATTCCATTATAGAAGGAGAGTTAAATACTGTAGGGAAAAAGATGTCGTGTGGACATTTCCCTTCCACACACTTAGAAGAGTTCCTTTCTCTGTCCGTGAACGTTCTCCCTGAGGAAAGGAAAATTTAAAGCTTTTTAATACAACACAATTAGTGGGGTGGGGATGGAAGAAGGGAAATAAAGAAAAAAATATACATCCATAGTGAATTTCATGATACATTATATACAGCTGGCTACTAGAAGCTTAGGAGATCCAACCAGAGGCAAGGTTTCCAGTATTTAAAGTCCAATCTTTGTCTTGTCTACAGAATTAGAAATGCTTGTAGGATAAAGAAACCACAACCTTTACACATATATGACGGGTACTTAACGTTTCTATAAAACTTTCGTACATCTTAACTACCTTAACACTTAAAGCCACATAGCTTCCACTGCTAGCCATGACACAGCAACTGGTACCAGACTCACTCTCCTACCAAAAACCAGTATATAATAAAGCAAAATATATGAGGCAATTGTTTTCAGGCAGGGAGTAGCAAAGACTATGATCTTTGAGAGAAGAGAAGTTTACAAGTCCCATGATCATCCCACTTTCTGCCTCTGGAGCACCTGACAGGGAGAGGGAAGCCGGGCAGAGTAGCAGGCTCGCTGAGCTGAGAAAACAGCTGGACTTTGCAGGGCAGAGTAGCTAGAAGAAGGAGCCATGCAAAGAGGGGATTTCACCAGTTTGCAGGAGTGTTCACTGCAGGCCTTTGGCCAAGGACTGGGCTGCACACGCTCAGAGAAAGATTCAGCAGGCCTAACAAAGATCATCTGCTACAGAACTGGGAGAAAACAGTGAGTGATACCAGAGGCCACAAAATCCTGAGAAACTAGAAATCCAACTAAGCCAGGGTAAAGAGACTCCCTGAGTGCATCAACATTTAACTGAGGCCAAAGAAAGGCCACATTTTAGGACTAAGCCCCAGAGAAAGGAGTACACACTAAAACTGAATTCAAAACTGAAATATACCTGCTCTACTAGAGATTATACCCGGCCAGACAAAACCACAATGATCTGCCACTAATTTAACCGTCTGCCAGAACGGTTGAACACATTTCAAGGAAGATGATACAATGCAGACTCAATACATGGCATCATCCACACTCCATGAGAAGGAATGAGGCAAAGGGGCCCACAGTCAAGAGAAGATGCAATCACTAGAAACCAACCATAAGATGACCCAAATGTTGGAATTAGCAGGCTAGAACTTTAAAGCAGCTAATATAAATATGTTTAAGGGTTTTAAAGAAAAGTATGATTATAATGAACAAACAGATCAGGAACAAACAGATCAGGAGAAAAAAGGACCAAATAGAAATCTGGAATCAAAAAATACAATATCTGAAATGAAAAATGTATTAAATGGGCTTAATAGCAGACTGGAGATAAAAGAAGAAATCGCCATTTAATATAAGTTAATATATGTTATCTAATCTAAAGAATAGAGAAAAACTATATTTAAAAAATAACGACCAGACTCAGTGATCTGTGGGACAGCATCAAACCATCCAAAATATGTGTAAGTGGAGTCCCAGAAGGATAGGACGGGAAAGTTTACATGTAAGAAATATTTGAAGACATATGGCTGAAATTTTCCCCAAACTGGTGAAAAACTGATGTACTGATACAAGCAGTTCAGTAAACCTCAGGCAAGATACACACAAAGAAAACCACATGTAGGTATATCCCAGTCAAACTGCTGGAAACCAAAGATAAAACCTTGAAAAGCTGCTGCAGAAAAATGACACTTTACAGACAACTAGAAGAATTAAGGCTGATTTCTCATCACAAAATAATGGAAGCCATAAGACAAAGGGATGGCACGTTGAAAAGGTTGAAAGAAAATAACAGCTACCTAGCCAGAATTAAATCCAACAAAAAGATCCTTCAAAAATGAATATGGAAAAAAATGAAGGTGAAATAAAAACAGAGAACTTGTTGCCAGGCTGAAAAGAAATAACACCATATGGAAAAAGCATAGGAAACAAAAAAGAGCACCAAGAATACGACAAATGCGGGTCCATTTAAAGCCACTATGTGGGATGGGGAAATGAAACAACAGGGCTGCAAGATTATAACACTGTACGTGAAAGTCATACTACAATAACTCTAAGCAGACTGTGAAAAGTTAAGGATACTGCATATGTAACTCCTAAAGTAACTACCAAAATAATAATAATAACGCAAAGAGGTACGGTCAAAAATCCAACAGAAGTATTACAAGAGAATACTAAAAACTATTCAATGGTCCCAAAAGAAGAGAGAAAAGGCAGAACAGTAGAACAAAAATCAGATGTGACAAACAGAAAAATGACAGAGTGAATCCAACCATACCAATAATTACATTATATAGAAATGAAACACTACAACTAAAGGCGGGAATGGTCAGACCGGATTCAACAAAAATACCCAACTATATGCTGTCTATAATAGATGCACTTGAAAGAAAAGGATGGAAAGACATTGTTTTGCTAGGGCCGCCATAACGAAATACCACCGACTGCGGGGCTTAAACAACAGAAATTTATTTTCTCAGAGTTCTGGAGGCCAGAAGTCCAAAATCAAGATACCGGTAGGCTTCTCTCCTTCTGTGGCCTCTTTCCCTGGCCTGCAGATGGCCACCCTCCTGCTGTGTCCTCACAGGGTCTCTTCTCTGTGTACACGCATCCCTGGTGTCTCTCAGCGTGTCTAAATTTCCTCTTCTAAGGACACAGTCAGATTAGATTAGGGCCCACCCTACTGGCTTGGCCTCATTTTAACTTCACTGCCTCTCAAAAGGCCCTGTCTCCAAATCCAGTCAGAGGCTGAGGTACTTGGGGCTCAGCTTTCAACACAGGAATTTGCAGGGGACACAATTCAGTTCATACAGATACATACAGTGAAAACAGTAAGCACAAAAATATGAGCTCACTGGGGCCAGCCAGGTGGCACAGTGGTTAAGTTCGTGTGCTCTGCTTCAGCAGCCCAGGGTTCATGGGTTGAGATCCTGAGTGTGGACCTATACACCGCTCATCAAGACATGCTGTGGCGGTGTCCCATATACAAAGTAGAGGAAGACTACCACAGATGTGAGCTCAGTGACAATTTTCCTCAAGCAAATAGAGGAAGATTGACAATGGATGTTAGCTCAGGGCCAATCTTCCTCACAAAAAAAAGAAAAAAGAAGTATGACCTTACTATATAAACTAATATCATACAAAATAGGCTTCAAATTAAGGAACGCTGCCATAAATAAATGAGGAACATTTTATAATGATAATGGGGCCAATTCATGAAGAAGACATAAAAATCATAAATGTTTATGTCTCTAAAAACAGAGCAACAAAACACATGACACGAAACTGAAGAGAGAAACAGACAAGTACCAATCTTAGATGGAGATGGAGATGTGAAAACCCCTCTCTCAGCAAGTGATCAAGCAAGTAGGCAAAAAACTCAGTAAGGATGGAGATACTAATGAACTTCATATAATTTATATTTATAGAACACTAAACTAAAAAACTACAGAATATACTCTCTTTCCCAGTACAAATGGAACATCCATCAAGATTGACCATAAACTGCGCCAACAAACAAGTCTCTCTTAACTCAAAAGTTCAAAATCTTGGTGAAAAATAAATAAATGGGGAAGAAGAGTCCAATGTCTTAGGCAGAATTCCAAATAATTTATGTGGATGCTCTGTCCTCAGGGAGGGGAGCACAAAGCCCCACTGTGCACAGTGACTTCCTTCCGAAGGGGACAACATGGAAAGTGGAAAAGGAATAACTTTGCGGCGGAGAAACCTCACAAACACTACCCTAGCCAGGCAATCAAGGTCAACATCAACACCAACATCAACAGTCAAATGAAATGTCATGTTCACAGTATGTGCCCTTGATCTGATGTAAGAAAAATGATACTTTGCCTCTGCGACCTTCCTTTCAGAAAACACAATGCCACTCTAATGACAAGAAAAACGTCAGACAAATTCCAATAGACAGGCGTCCTAGAAAACAGCTGACCAGCACTCCTCCAAACTGCCAAGGCCATCCAAACGGGACATCAGAGAAACTGTCACAACCAAGAGGAGCCTAAGGAGACAGAGAACCAAATGTAATGTGGGGTGGGATGCGGTGGGGTGGGGTGAGGTGGGATTGGAAATTCTGGAACAGAATAAGGACATTAGGTAAAAACTAAGGAAATCTGAATAAACTACAGACTTTAGTTAATAATAATGTATCAACATTGATTCATTAATTTTAACAAGTGTACCATACTAATGTAAGATGTCAATAATAGAGGAAACTGAGTGCTGGGTATATGGGAACTCTTGTTACTATCTTTTCTGTAAATCTAAGAACTATTCTAAAAAATAAAGTTTATTACAAAAATACAAAAGACCTGCAATAGCAAAAGAAAACCAAAATAAGGCATCCAGAGATAGACCCACACTTACATAGTCAATTGATTTTTGACAAAGGAACCAAAGCAACTCAGGAAGAAAAGAAAGTCTTTTCAGCAAATGCTGCTGGAACAACTGGGTACCCAGGTGAAAACCATGAAGCTCAACACCTTACCTCACACAAACGTTAATTCCAGATGCATCACAGACCTAAACATAAAAGGTAAAATTATAAAGCTTCTAGAAGAAAACGGAATACTTCCATAACCAGGGGGTAGGCAAAGACTTCTAGAACCATAGCAATAACCACAAAACAAACACAAGGATAAATCAATCTTCTGAATATTAACAACTTCTCATTAAAAAACACTAGTAAGAATGAAATTACATTTTGTAACAAACATATACACTGGAATAAAATTATAAATATATAAAAGTACATATTTTAAAAATATGTAAAAGTATATATAAACAATTACATATATATACATACACTTATAGCTGACAAAGGACTTGCATCTCCAAAATATATAAAAGGAATGCTAACTCAAAAATAAAAAGACAAACACAATTCTAAAAAAATAGACATTTCACAAAGGAAGCTACATGAATAGCCAATAAGTACATGAAAAAGTGCTCCACGTGATCAATTAACAGGGATATTAAAAATTAAAACCACTGTGAGATACTACTACATACCTGTCAGAATGGCTAAAATTAAAGACCGATAACATAAAACGTCAGTGAGGAAGTGGAGCACCCAGAACTCTCCTACTTTCTTGGTGAGCATGAAATGGTACAACCATCCTGGAGAAAGATCTGGCAAATTTCTTGTATACTAAGCATACACCCTGCCCTACCCTATGACCCAGCAATTGCACTCCCAGATGGCTATCCAAGGGAAATGAAAATATGTCCACAAAAACACATGTTAAAAAAAAAAGGATTTGCAGCAGCTTTCTCAAAACAGCCCCAAACTGGAAATGGTCCATGTGTTCATCAACAGAATAAACTGTGATATATTCATACACTGGAATTCAATGCAGTGGTAACAAGGAAGACCTAGATTAGTAACGAGCACACCTGGCACCCAGATCTTGGGTCCTTTATGCCATTTCCACTGAAAGGAACCAGGGCTCTTTGGAGAAAAAGCTGATTCCTGGGACTGGGGCTCAGAAGGAATAAGGTGAGTCTGGAGCATCTTGTTATGTCAGAAAGCAAAGAAGTGCTTAAAGAATGAGGAGGATGTGTCCACTGAACACAAGCAGCAGCTTGAAAGGGTTCCTACAGGACAAATTTGGGACAATTTGAACATAAAATAATAACACTGGGTTTTAAGTCACTGAATAAGAACCCCTGAGTTCATACTGATGTAAATAAATAAGGGAGAAGGAAAAGTTCTTCCTGACTGTATGATGCCAACCAACAAATACAGAACCAAAAACACTTAGAAAATAATCAATGGAGGCTAAAAGAGTGAGTGAAAACTGAATGAGGAACCAGATAAATAGTAATTTTTTGGTGGACAGACTCAATACAACATCACATAGCTCCTGACAACACTCAGCATTTCTGGGTGCTTCAGACAAAATGCATAACCTGAGTCTAATAAGGAAAAATATCAGAAAATCCCAGTAACTGACTTGGGTTTTTTTTTTGCTTTTTTTTTTTTTTTTTTTGCTAAGGAAGATTCACCCTGAGCTAACATCTGTGCCAGTCTTCCTCTGTTTTGTATGTGGGTCACTGCCACAGCATGGCCACCAACGAATAGTGTAGGTCTGCACCTAGGAATCAAACCCAGGCTGCCAAAGTGGAGGGCACCAAACTTGAGCCCTAGGCCTTGGGGCCGGCCCCTAATAACTGTCCTGTATTTTTTTTTTTTTAATAACAATGTCAAGAAAGACAAAAAGAGGATGAGGAACAGTTCTAGACGAAAGGAGAATAAAAAGACATGACAACTAAATGCAGGACACAGCCCTGGATTGGATGCTGGACTGGAAAAAAATAGCCATAAAGAACATCAATGAAATAATCACAATATTTCAATACGGTCTGTGGATTAGAGAACAGATTGCATCAATGTCAAATTTCCTGATTTTGATATTTATCCTGTGGCTATACACGAGAACATCCTTGATCTCAGGAAACTCACATTGAGATTTTGTTGGGGGAAAGGGCACCAAGTCTCCCAGCTTACTCTCAACTGTTCAAGGGGAAATCACGCAGAGAGAGAGAATGACAAAGCGACTGGGGCAAAACGTAGGCAAGTGGTGAATCCAGGGAAAGGATATACTGGAGTTTCTTGGATTATTCTGGCAACTTTTCTGTAGGTTTAACATATCAAAACCAAAAGGTTATCAAAACACACACACACCCATACATACATCACTATAATTATTCTCCATTTAACAAGAGGACACAGCAGCTCAGGGACAGGAAGAGACGTGCTCAGCCAAGAAACTACTAAGGCTTAGAACTTGAATGCAGGTCTTCTGACAACAAACCTTTCCCGTGTCACTGCCCAGTCGGGTCAGACTTAAATCAATCAACAACGACCCCCTAGTCCTTAGCATAGGCCACAAGGCCACGCCACTCTCCCATGCCCTTAGCTCCCTGCCCTCCTTTCCTGTCACTCTCCCAACTCCCCTGGCCCGGGCCGAATATCAGAGCCTCATCTCTCTTCAGGCCTCGCTCGCCCTGCTCCCTGTCTGGGGAGCTCTTCCCCAGTCACGCCCTCAGTACTCCAGCGTCGCTTTAGAAAATCCATCCCTGCTCACCCTGGATAAGCAGCCTTCCTCCCTCCAGTCTCGATTCCTCCTGCCCCACTTCATTTCTCTCAACAGCACAGACCACACTCTCACAGGTTATATATTTACGTGTCTTCCCTGACAGAATATAGGCTCCACAAGGATGGGGACATGACATCGTCTATTTTTTGCTTACTGCTATATATTTGCAGTTCTTATAATAGCTCTCATAGTTCTTATAATAGTCTGGCATGTGTGTGCCATGCTCAAAAAATATATCTTGAATGACTAGATAAATAAACAAAGGCAGGTGATACCAATTAAATTTGCAACAGAATTTTTCTGGAAATTGACTGATTGAGTCTAAAATGTATACGGAAGAAAAAAGACGCACAGACAGCTAATACAACTAGAAAAATGAACAAGAGAAGGTACTCACCCGACAAGGTACTCAGCAGCAAAGCTACAGTATCTAAGATGACATTGTCATGGGTATACACAGCTCACTGAAACAGAATCAAGTCCACAGACAGACTCCCGCGAACATGGGCGCGTGGGGGTATGAACAGAGAACTGCAAGTTATCTAGGAAAGGAGAGACTCCCAATAATGGCGTTGGGGTAACTGTTTCACCACATGGACAAAAACATAAAACTCAGTTCTGACCTCATGCCACACAAAAATAAATTCCAGATAATCTGAAGATTTAGCATTCAAAAAATCCTCTAAAACTTTAAGAAAAAAGGAGATTATATATGACCTTATGGTAGAGGAGGCTTCTTAAAGACACCAAAACAAACCCCAGAAACCATAAAGGGCAATATATATGGGTTTGACTTAAAATGAAAAACACTTATGTGAAAACAATGCATGATGAACATATGTAAAAGGCAAGTAGGCTGGAAGGTATTTGCAATGTTACCCCTGCAACTCACTAAGAAAAAGCCACACAGTCCAACAGAAAGCCAGGCAAGGAATCTACACTGGTGGTTCACCGTGAGAAAATACTAATTGTCAATACACACAGGAAAAAATGCCCAGACTCATCAGCAATTACAGAAAAAAGCTTACTAAAACAACAGTATAATGTTTCTCACCTATCAGATTAACCAGATTTCATCAGACAGTATCAAAGATGTGGAAAATGGGAACTTTCGAATACTGCTAGTGAGGCTGAAAAACAGGACGGCCATTTTGAAGAACCATTCGGCTTTTGTCAAACTGGAGATGCACATTTTTTATGACACAGCATGAGGAGAGGTGCCAAAGGCTGTTCCCTGAAGCACTGTTTCTATAGGAAAACAGTGAATACACCTAAACATCCACTAATAGGAGAATAAACAAAATGTGGTATATTTATTCAATAGAATACACTGGTTATAAGTAACTAGTTCTATACACACCAACACAGAGCTCCAAGATACAACAGGTGAAAACGAAGAACACAGACAGCTTGATGATGTTTATGTACATTTTGAAAACACCAAAACAATATCATTTCCTTAAGACACTAGGTGAAAATGTAAAGAACGGGTGAACGCACACACAGACTCAGTGCCGTGGTCCCCTCTGCAGGGCACAAGAGGGCAACAGGACCGCGAGGACTAGTCAAAGGAACTTCACCTGTATCTCAATGTGCTATTTCTTAAAAAAAAAAAAAAGGTGGGGAGTTATTACTTTTGGATGGTGGGAATGCGGACATTTATCATTATTTGTCCTTTTTGGTAATTTTTCAAGTTTTCTTTTGCAGCATGCTTCCCCTGGGGCTCCACATGCGCTCTGCTCCAACACTGGAGGAAACTGGTGGCAGTGGACACTGAGAACAGCATAACACTGAATTTTATATATGATTTAAATGATGTTCAAAGTAAATTTTGCCTATACGTGATTTGAGCCTTAGCTGACCCACTTCAGAGATTCACAGCGTCATCAACATGATAACTTAAAACAAAATGCACCTAAAACACTTCCTGCATTTAGGGGAGGATTTTTGAGACCAATCGAACTACAAAATTAAGTGAACCAAAATCTCTTCTCTCCAGTGCCATCTGGTGGAAAAAAGAGGCAACCTCATCTGCACCTCCCACGGGGACCCACAGTCGCGGTCCTCAGGCCGCCATTCTTCTCAAGGAAGCGCCCTCTCTCACGCTGGGGTGACCATGAGGTACCCTAGTAACTGCTCGCTTTCTTTAGAGTCTCCCTCAAACTAAGTTCTTCAGCCTGCAGGTTAGATCAGAAAGATCTGCTCTTTCATCTTAACCTGCTCAGACTCCTTCTTTAATGTTTTTTAATCAGATATGCTTTAACTTCTCCCTCACAAGACCACTCTGTGATCACAATCTGCATTCATCCACATTTCAAACCCTCCAGAGTAAAAAATTGCAAAAGCTGATATCTATATTAAACATTTTAGTGTCATTTTGCTTTTACATAAACTTATGATGGCAAGCATTTTTCATTTAAAGGACTTTTTAAATATAACATACTGTCACTATACATATGCAGTGGGAATTATAAATACTTCCTTCTTGCCAGCACTGGACGGGATCGTAAAAAACATACAGTATTTTACCAAGAGCCAATAAAATAGGCTAGATTTTTCAGACATTAAAGAAAAATATCAATTAAAAAAAGGAAAAAAAACAGTAACAAGGTTATGAAACTCCCAATTTGCAATACTGAGTTCCTCCATCCGTTTACAAGCCAGAGACACAACCATGCGGGGTGTAAAATTATTCCGGAAAATGCCAACTGTACTCAGACACAATAAGTCAATCCTAAATGATTCTCCCTTAGTGTTTTTTTGTGGCTATGATTCCATTCGAGCTTTATGACCTGCTATGACAGACAGCTTTTCAAGTGTTTCCAAACCAGCACCAGCAGAGGATGGAAACAGAGTCAAAGGCACTCCCTCAGAGGCTCCACACCGTTAGCCTTTGATGTACGTTTACATTTAGCAAGTTTCAGTGACTCCATTCAGATGCTCCTGCAGGTTCATACAGACACACTGAACTGTTGGTTGGACTTCTCTTCCTTCCTCAAAGTTTACGATAAAGAGACTAATCCCCGTATTGGGGCTGACTGACACGAGTTCAGATCTGCTCACACTCGCTGGTAAGGAACACTTGAGGTCAGTCACAAGATAATCAAACAGGTTTCTCATGTAGGCGCCATGACTCACAACTAAGACACTGGCCGCTAACCCTGGAGCACTGCTGTCTGAATTACATGCGGAGGCACAGGTTTTTCCTAAAGGAAATGTCTTTGCCAAAGAAGTTTCCAGAGAGTTGCTTGGAGCTCCTTGGGAAAACTGTCCTTTCTCATCTGCTTCTTTCAGGATCAGTTGACAAAGAAATTCAAAAAAGTCTTTTCCACGCATTTTCACCTTCAAGAAAAGAAACAAAAGCTTAAATAAAGCGACACTAATGACCGTGTTAAACATGAACATAGAACATAACTGACTGAATTTTTTCTGTCATCGTCAGCACTACACAAGCAGAGGAAACCGTTTCTCTTCATTCAGTCAGTGGTTCCACAGACCTTTGTGAGCGAGTGCCCACCACATTTCTGGAACGACAGAGGCACTTCGGAGACAAAGATGAGTAAGACACAATTCCCCGCTCCTGACTGCAAAGCACTGAGTCTAGTTAGGGAACCCACAGACAACGGAAGCCCATCAAATAAGAGTGTCAGTCATGAAACTACATTTGGCACCCCGGTTTAGTTAGAACCACAACAAGGACAAAACAGTCTTTCCCTTATTAAATTAAAAGAAAGTCTTTACAAGAAAATTGTAAAAATAAAGAATAGGGGGGAAACAACCACCAACAGTACAACTGGAAAGCAGAACACTCCAAAGAGATGCAAGCACGTGACGACGTCCCTCACCAAGCTGCAGAGGCTGTGACTGCTGAATTACTGGGCCTCTTGCTTTGCTCAGTCTCGCCTGCCGCTCCCCTTGAACAGCACCACACCAGCTCTACGGCCCACCACTACCACTGCTGAAGCTATTGCTTCATATTCAAGTTTTCCTAAGAGTCCCATCCAATAACACATTTCCTTAAACCCGTTATCCATAATGACTGCCAACTTAGTAATACACAAGAAAGACACGATAGCTTAAAAAGGGGGAAAAGAATGACACTGTACCGAGTTGTTTCATGAACCAAACAACTTTCAAACTGCTTAGCTAAAATTTAGAAACATCCCATTTACACACTAAGTCAGATTTCAGCTCCTCCGACGCTGGGCAGTGTATCAGCGTGCACCCTGCCCCAGGGCTCCGTACCTGGGCTAAGGTCTCTCCTCCGGGTGGTGTGAACATGAGGCATTCTTCTCCGGCTGCTTTGGCCATTGCTCTCAGCTCACTCAGTGCCCTGCCTTCTGCAACTCCGTATTTCTGCAACGGTCCAAGAGACAAAAGGGCCTCAAGTGAATTTTCAGTACAACAGGTCCAGGTTTATGGCAAATTTAAGATAATCATCCGGGAATCAGCTTAGTTTCCTTCCATTTACTTGATTATATCTCCTCTGAAGTGATAATGGGAACATACCCAACAGCGGGCCACGTTCCCCTGGAAAACACAGTTGACATCTTGCATTGTACACTGTGTCCAGGTGGGTTGTACTGAACATCTCACTCAGGTTCACTTACATAGACCGTTGGGCTTTACTGGACAAACACAGGGATTTGCACAGATTCCAGGGCAAGAGACTGACAAGTGCAAGGCACCAGACAGCCCCCGACACCCACACATGCTGTCTCATTTGATCTAATCACAGCACTATGAGATTTGTATCTTCATCTCCGTATTTATAGGTGGGAAAGCTGAGCTTCAGAGAGGCTGAGCAACTAGCCTATCTTCTCACAGGCGATAACCAGCAGAGCGAAAGTTCAAACCCAGATCTACGTGACTTCAAAGTTTACCACCTTTTTAGATTCATAAAGATTGAGCCTTAGCAAAGGACACAGAAGTCACAAAGTAAATACAAATGGCCAAGAAACATGGGAAATCGACCTCATTAGGAATCCATAACATGAAAATTAAAATGGCACTTTTCATAAGGTATTAAATTGGAAGACCAAAGAGACCGCTAATAGCTAGTGTTGATGTGAGAAAAAATTCCTCGTAGATCACTCAAGGAAGCGTAAATTGGCAAAGCTTTTCTGGAACCAAATTTAGCCATATTGATAAAAAGGCTTTAAAAAAGTACACCTTCAGCAATTCCAATTCTAGGAAATGTATTAGATATTTATACAAAGAATTAAGTACAAAGATGTTTATTTTAACATTATTTACATCAGTGGAAAATCTAGTCATGACCTAAATATCCATTAGTAGTAGGTTGGTGAAATAAAATTATGCAATATCCATATATTAGAATAATAGAGTCTTAACTAGGTGACCACATTGATGTGCATTTATGGGCACTGGAAAACACAGTAAGTGAGAAAAGGTGGTTAAAACACAATACGTGTAGTAGGATCACATTTAGAAAAACACAAACACAATCAGATAGACAGACAGATAAATAGGCTGACAGACAAACGTGAACAAAAGTCAGGAGTACACATGACCAAAATGTTCACTGTGTTTGTACGGGGTAGCAATTTTAACTGTATTTTTTTCCAAGCTGTTCTGACCTTTACCTACGATAATGGATTACTTGCATAATAAAATATTTCAAGAGACAAATCATTATTTATGGTTTGCACTGATGGTGTCAAAAGACTGTAACACCACCATAAGACAGAAATCCAACAGTAAAACATTACGTTTTATAGAATACACGCACATTTTGCCAGCTGCCCATGCAGTCCTCAGGTCCAAACTCTTACACGGTCAACTATATCTGGAGCAACCTCTACTACAAAGACGGACATTAAAAACCAGCACTTGCTTTGTGTTCACAAGAATGAAAACATCCATTTGTTAAATATCCCAATGCTACACTGAGACAGGTCAGGCAGCGCGGCCAGAGCGAGGAGGAGCCCGGGACCCACTGCTCCCTGGCCGTGCTGAGAGCGCAGTGCAGTGGGGATACCGACCAGGAACGGCGGTGAAAACTGCTGCAATGGAGTGAGGTCCCGGACACAGACACACAGCAGAGACGTCCAGTGTGGACTTGGGGAATCACAGAGGGTGAAAGCCTCCGGGCGAGTGCATGTCGGCCAGGTTTGGGGAGCAAAGATTCCAGGCAGAGTGGAGGACAGAATCAGCAGCTCGGTGAGGGAAGGGCACAGGGAGCCTGGGTCACTGAAAAGAGCCCTGAGAGGCAGATGACCAGCGGTCCAGAGCATGGGCTCCACGGCCAGCGGGCCCTGATCTGAATTGGAGCTCTGCCACAAACTAGCTCTGTGGCCCTGGGTGTGGATTGACCTGTGGGTGCCTCAGTTTCTACTTCCGTACAACAGGGGTTAAAAAAGGAGGTTTTAAATCTTCACAACATCACGTTGCTGTGAAGATTAATAAACCGGAAGCACCTGGAAGAGTGCCAGAACACGGTGAACAGCATGTGAGCGCTCGCTAATGGTATCTGCCAGGCTGGGCACCAAGCACAAGGGGAGGGGAAGGAGGCAGGTGGAGACAACAGATGAGATCCCACAGCATGCTGAGAGCCAGGCTGGAGTTAGGACAACTTCTCGAAGGTAAAAGAGAACGACTGAACTGTTTTATCCAGGGCATAGCAACCAAACTTTCCAAATTACTCTGGCCGCAGTGTGGAGATTAGATTGGAAAAGCGGGAGCAAGAGAGAAAACAGGAGCATCACTGTTGCAGTGATCTGGACGACAGACGGCACACTGAACTGCAGCAGGATGGCGGCAGTGGGTTCACAGAGAAACGAAGGAGTCCAGGAACTCTTTAGAGGTAGAACTGACATGATGATGATAGGGTGTGCAGTGTGCGAGACAGTGAAGAGTCAAGGATGAATGGTGTGAGAAACTGGGTAACGCAGGAGCGGGCGGAGAGAAGAGAGTGCTTCCCAGTGAGCTGGAGGCCGCGGCTACACAAACAGAATCAACAGTAGGCAGTCTGTTGTGTGCGTGTGCACCTCAGATAAGAGATCTAAGCGACAAATACGTATTTGGAAACCATCAGCCCACGAAGTGAAATCATAGGAGAGGGTGAAAATACTCAGGGAGAGAGCACAGAGTGAGAAGAGATGGCCCCGCCCAATGACCACGCTTTCTTCTACTGGGCCTGTTCAGGGCTCCGCTGAACTCACATTTTTGCTTAACAGGTGAGCATGGGCTCTCAGGCACAGAGTGCGCCTTTGCAAGCAGCATTCATGCTGAAGCTCTCGTACCTTTGTTGAATTATAACAGAGAACACAAGCGAGTTATGGAAAGCAGTTCTTTAAAGGTGCCCTAGCCATTCTGTCACATTCCTATCCAGGTAGAGAAGGAATCACAGGGCTGGAAGGGACATTAACCAGCTTACAGGTCAGTATTACAGAGCATGCTCAAGATGCTGCTCTAGGAGGAGACAGGGTCAAATCTCAAGTCTGAAATTGCTGGCTGGCTCCAGCTAAATCACAGTTTCAGAAAGACTTCTTTCTGGTGTACAAAATGGGTATAAGAAAGTCTATTCATGCTTAAAACAGCAGAGTAGCACTGGGAGGCTGAGGAGAGGACTTCTCACTTTGAAACGCTTCTGTACCGTGTGAAGTTCTTATGAGGACACCTTGCTTGTATAATTTAAGAGGCTTATCTCATAGGATTATATAATCAAGTAAGACACTATCTACGAGAGTATGTAACAGATTCTTCACACACGTTAGCTGATTCCGCATCCCTAGCAGGAATGCATGTCATTTTCAGCCACGTGATAAACTGAGGTGGTTTATTGATAGTTCATGGAAAGAACACTACGTAAGTTACCTACCCTTTCTCGAAGTCTTGAATCGTACTTTACTGCCATATCTTTGCAAAATTTGCTCTTCTCCAAAATCCCACACGTGGTCTGAAAATCAAAAGATAACTGTTTCTTTTCTCATAAAAATAACCATTCTGGCCAAAACAGCAATATAATACATGCCATTTTAGTGAATGAAAAGGAACTAGAAATAATCTTCCTTTGCAAAGCTTGCCTCTCCTCTCTACTGCTCATCCTTTGTCTCTTCACTCTGGATTTTCCTATTTCCTTCTAATCTGTCCTCTAGTTCAGAGGTCAGCAAACTCCAGCCCACAGGCCAAATCCAGAGGGCCACTTGTTTTTACAAATAAAGTTTTATTAGAACACAGCCATCCATGTGTTATTTATGGCAGTTTCACGGTCCAACAGCTGTGACAGAGACCATACAGCCCACAAAACTTAATATTTGCTCACTATCTGGCCCTTTACAGTGAAAGTTCTAGTTCACTAATTCTCCATTCAGGTGTGTCTAAACTGCTGTTAAACCTATCCCTTGAGTCTTCATTTCAGTTACAACTTCAGTTCTAGAATTTGCATTTGGTTCTCGTTTACAGTTTCCAGTTCTCTGCTGAGACTCTCAATGTTGTCTTTTATCTGTGCATTGAACGGTTATTTTAAAGCCTACGTCTGGTAATTCCCATGATTGGATAATGCCCGCAGCCATTCCTGCTGCCTTTTGTCTTTGCTCATTTTTGTTCACACTCCCTTCCCTCATTGGGTGCCTGGCTTTTTTCATTGACTAGCGACACTGTATTTGCAAAACTGCAGAAATCATTTCAGTCCACATTTGTTTTGTTTTTTAACCCTCTCCCCACAAATTGGACATTTTCAACATTACTGTTTCATATTGTCAATACCTTTACCCATGTCTTTGCTCACTATTCTCTTTTGAAACTCAGACCTTCCTTCTGGAATTATTTTTCTTCTTCAGTTATCCTTTGAAAATTTATTTACAGCCTGTTTGTCTGAAACGTCTTCATTTCACCTATACTCTAGAAAATGTCTTGCTGAGTATAAAACTCAAGGCTAACCCTTATTATCTCTCAACACATTAAAGAAATTATCAATATTGACAAATTTGTTGGTCACCTAATATTGGCCTTTGGTAGATGGTGTTTTTCCTTCTTATTTCTTCGGAGTTTTGCAATTTTAAGTGTAGATGTGGGTTTCTTTTTATTTATCTTGACTGGAATTTGTCATACTTCTTGCATCTGAGAATTTGTTATCTTTCAACTTCTATAAAATTAACTGTGACCTCTTTGAACGTCATGTCTTTCCCATTCTGAGACCTCATTTTGAAAGACGCTAGACCGTCTCATCCTGTCCTTCATGTCTTTTAAACACGTGCTTTTAGATCTATCATACTGTGCTACATTTCATTTACTATCTTATATTTACCTATAAGCTAATAATTATTTCAGTTGTGTCTAATCTATAATTTAGTATATTCACTGAGGTTTTTGGCTTTTTAACTTTTTCCAGATTTTTAAATCTTTATCGAAGTATAATTTACAATAAAATACACCCTATTTTAAGTACACAGCTCATCAAGTTTTGACAAATGTATACAACCATCTACATACCATCGAAATCAACATATACAAGAATTCCATCACCCCAAAAGATTCCTTTGTACCTTGCCAGCCGATCCCTCACAGCCTGGGCCCCGGGCAACCACTGATCTGCTTTCTGTAACTACAGATTAGATCTGTCTTTTCTAGAGTCTCACAGATGGAATCACACAGGAGGTGCTCTTCTGTGTCTAGCTTCCTCTGCACAGCATGTTTTAGAGACTCATCCACGTGGCTGCTGAGGTGTTTCCATCACATGACTACACCATCGTTCATTTACCCATCCACCTACTGATGAACACATGCGTTGCTTCAACTCTTGCCTATTACAAATAAGGCTGCTATTATCAAACAGTCGTGTATAGTCTTTGTGTGGACATATGTTCTTATTTCTCTTGGATAAACTCCTGGGACTGAAATTGCTGGATCAGATACTCAGTTTTGTTAAACTGTCAAACTGTTTTCCAGAGCATTTATTGTGTTTTACATTCTAACTAGCAATGTATGAGTTCTAGCTGCCATGCATCCTTTTACCTTTTCAATTTTAGCCATTCAAATGTGTGCATAATGGTATCTCGTGGTTTTAATTTGCATTTCTGTCGTGATCAATAGTGCTAAGCATCTTTTCATCTGTTTATTGGTCTTCCATACATCTTCCTTTGTGAAGTACCTGGTCAAATTTAAATCATTTGCCCATTTTAAAGTGGGATGTTTGTCTAATTACAGAGTTGAAAGAATTTTAGATATATATACACATCTATCAATATACAGAGAGGTGTATGTATATATATATGTATGTCTTTGTCAGATGTATACATATACACATTTTACATATATAATATACACATTTATAATTTTCTCAATCTGTTTCTTGTTCATGCTTTGTCCTAAGAAACCTGTGGACAAACCAAGGTCATAAAGACTTTTCTCTTGTGTTTTCTTATAGAATTTTTATAGATTTAACTTTTAGATTTGTTCTATATCAACTACAAGTTAATTTTCTGTATGGTGTGAGGTAAGGGTCAAAGTCCATGTTTCTCCACATGGAGAGCCCACTGTCTCAGCCTTTATTGAAAAGACTACTCTTTTCCCATTGAATTACCTTGGCACACTGTCAAAACCCAACTGACCAAAAAAACACAAACAATCAACTATATAAGTTTGAATCTATTTCTGGTCCCTCAACTTTTGCTTGAGAGAAAAAGTCTTTATTTCACCTTAATTTTTGAAGTATTTTCACTGGGTACAAACTTGGAAATTTTTCAGTCATTATTTCTTCAAAATATATTTTTTTATCCTCCATACTCCCTCCCACCCCACTTCCGTCTTGACACTTCAACTACATGTGTAGTATATTGCTTGATATTGTCCTATACTTCACTGAGACTCTTCATTTTTTTTTCAGTCTTTTTTCTTTTCATAGACAATTTTAGTATGTTCTATTTCTGTGTCTTCATATACACTGACCTCTTCTTCTACAGTGTCTAATCTACGGTTAATCCCATCTTGTGAAATTTTCATTTCAGAATATTGTTTTTCATCTCTAGAAGATCAATTTAGTCCTTTTTTAAATATATATTCGATTTCTCTCTTCATTATGTTCCTCTGAGCACAGTTCAGCCTCACTATTAAAGGTGTGATCCTTCTGAAGTCTACATTTTATACTCTGTGTATTCAACAAAATGTCTCCGCTTTGGTTGGTGGGAACCCAAATGGTTCCCAACCATGTGTGAGCTCTAGAAGTGTCTGCTTAGGGCTCCCCAGTAATTGCTCTCCCCGCTGAAGCTGTGCTGCTGGCCTCATCCAGTCTCATTCTCCGCACGTGCAGATTAACAGTCCCCGAAAGATTGGAGGGGATCCCTAGACATGTCTAGAGTTCTTTCTCTGTGCAGCTCTCTCTTCCAGTACTCCGCCCCACGAATTTCAGTTATTTTAACCTCCCCAAATTCCAAGCTTTGTCTCCTCAACTCACTGAGTCCCCTGGACTTTATCTGGCTTGTCCTACCAGAGCCTGGAAATTGTTTTGGCCAGAAAATCAGGACAATCCAAGGGCTGCCTCATTTGTCTCACTTCATTGGGGATCACAGGCCTATGCTGCCTGAAGTCCAATGTCTGAAAACTGCTGCTTCACACATTCTGTCCTGTTTCCTTGTTGTTTATGGGGGTAGGCTACATTCCAGCCCTGTTACTCCCCAACGATTGTCACAAAAGTCTCCTTCCATTGAGCTTTTAGATGTTGATTTGGTTCCTGTTTAAATCTCTGGGGTCATTTGTATAGTAATCTGTTCCCTAAAGATATTTCAAAAATGTCTTTTATTTCCTTATAGTAACAGTTTTTTGGGTTTTTTTAATTTTAATTAAGATTATGATAGATTACAACCTTGTGAGATTTCAGTTGTACATTATTGTTAGTAATGTTGTGGGTACTCCACTTCACCCCTTGTGCCCTCCCCCCACCCCCCCTTTTCCCTGGCAACCACCAATCGGTTCTCCATGTCTATATGTGTAACAGTTTTTTTAAAATTGTATGTGGTAATTCTAATATCTGATGTCTTTATGGGTTAAAGTCTCCTGTCTGTTGCTTCTGCTGGCTCTCTCCCCCATGACATCTTCTCTGTCTTTTTTCAGACATTTCCCCCCAAGCTACTCTAATTTAAAAATTACCAAAATAAAGTAGGAAAATAAAATGAAAAGAAAAGAAGTTCTGTCAGAGGGAGGCGAGGATTGGAGGTGATGTCTGCGTGCGATTTAACTCCCTACAGAATCTGGTGGCAGATTCTTTTTCAAGGTTACAACTGTCGAGACTTTTGACTCATCAGCCTAAACCTTGACTCTAAACTTACCTGCTTTGTCCTCGTGAGGTCACTGGAGAAAACATGGGTAAACTTCACATTCTTAAGAAATATACCAGCAGCAGCTGCTTGTTTAAACCCAGTTTCTGAAAGAGGCTCATCCACTCCTTGTCCTGTGGTGTTAAGAGAAGCAACAATAACATTCAAATACAAATATAAGGGATGAAAATAAAATCACATGGAAGAGAACATAAATAGCACTTATCTATATTTTACTAAAATATTTTCTTGATTAAAAAAAGAAGGAGGGGCCGGCCCCGTGGCTGAGTGGTTAAGTTTGCGTGCTCTGCTTTGGCGGCCCAGGGTTTACCAGTTCGAATCCTGGGCAGGGACATGGCACCACTCATCAAGCCATGCTGAGGCAGCATCCCACACAGCACAACCAGAGGGACCCACAAGTAAGAATACACAACTATGTACCAGGGGGTTTGGGGGAGAAAAAGGAAAAATTAAAAAAAAACAGATTTTCTTGGGTACTTTTCCACATAACTTTTCAGAGAACTGACAGCAAGTAAAATTAAGCAATAATCCTATAAAGGCTCAGGTATTCAAATTTTCCTAAAAGAATGTTTGCCTCATGAAAATAAATGACGAGAATTCCCGTCTCAAGCTTTCCCCTCCTTCACAGTCACCCATCTCTCGATCAGCTGTGCTTTATTAATGCCGGCTCTGAGCTTACATTCTCAACACATGTGTTATGGTTGATGGAAGGACCAGCACCGAAAGACTTTCCTTCTTTATCTCCGTTACCCAAGGGTTCCATATTGTATTACTTTCCCTCCCTTCCTTCTTCCTTCCTTTCCTTTTTTCATTTAAAAAAAAAACTCTGAAACCTTGATGTCCAGGAGACAGGCTGATTAGACACTCTGACAGGCCCTCCTACTACAAAAGGACTAAATGTGTGTATGTGGGTGTGTGTGCGTTGTGTGTGCTGTTCACAGGTTATAAGGAAAATCCCTAAAAGGCAAAGCAAAGAGGCCAAAATACCCTGATCTGAAACTTGAATATTAACACGAGAAAATGGAGCTGCCATGATGCCAGAGAGAGCAGGCGGTGGCGGGGGAGGAGGCGGCCGCGCGGGACAGCAAGGGGGGAGAAGGGAACTCAGCCTCCCTGGCGGCCAGGGACCCTGTAAGGAGCCTCACGCAGTCTCAGTCAGTGGTAAAATCAAACACACATCATCTTCAGAGCGAGTCGTTCTCAATAAAGGCTAACAAGTTTTCTACTGATCTACAGCAAATAATAGTTCAGTCACTAAGTTAACGCACAAGAAAACAACCCATCACGAATGAAAGTCAGCAGAAACAACACAAAACAGATTTAGAACTACTGATACAATTCAGACATTGAAATCAGCAGATAAAGACTATAAACTGTGAATCAAACCGAAAAACAAGGGGCCGGCCTAGCGGCACAGTGGTTAAGTTTGGGCACTCCGCTTCAGCGGCCCAAGGTTCACGGGTTTGAATCCTGGGCGCAGACCTACGTATCACTCATCAAGCCCTGCTGAGGCAGCATCCTACATACAAAATAGAGAAAGACTGGCACAGATGTTAGCTCAGGGCAAATCTTCCTCAAGCAAAAAGAGGAAGACTGGAAACAGATGTTAGCTCAGGGCCAATCTTCCTCATGAAAAAAAACCCCAAAAAAACATAAAGATAGAATCACAAAAATAAGCAAGTAACAAGAAGCCATCAAAAACAACCAGACAGCTTTCTAAAAGAACCAAACCAATCTTTTAATAATAAAAAACAGAATTGCTGTGGGGGAGGGAGATCCCTCAGTGGATAAAGGAGACTCAGGTACACAGAGGCTTAATGAACCCCATGAATGGGCTGAAGGTATTGCTCAGAATGCAGCACAGATACAAGGAGATGGAACAAATCTCCAATATATCAGAGACACAAAGAAAAAAGTGAGAATTCCTAACACACATCGATTGGAACTCCAGAAAGAAAAGAGAAAATGGAGCAGAGGGAATAGGAGATAATGGCTGAGAACTGTCCAGAAATAAGACATAAATCTACAGATAAAGGACACACAATGTACACCAAGTAGGATAAATTTAAACAAAAAAGATCCCTCCTAGACATATTAAGGGAAACTATAGGATACCAAATCAAGCAAAAGGTTTTAAAAGCAGGTATGCAGAAAGACAGATTACCCACCATGGAACACCACTTTGCTGGGGAAGACTTCTTAACAGGAAAATGGAAGCCAAAAAAGCAAAATACTATATTCCAAGTGCTAAGAGAACTGTCAGTCTAGAATTGTCTAGACTAAAAAAGACTGAGTAGAATAAAGACAGAATACAGAATTGTCTGGAACAGAAACAATGGAGACTATCTTTACTATCAACTGATCTACACTAGGGGAGCTTTCAAAGAAGATACTTCAGGAATGAAGGTTTGAGATGCAAAAGAAACGAGGAGAGAAACTGGGTAATGTATACGTAAAGCTAAACAAATACTGGCTAAATAAATTAAATAATAATGCCTATGTTGTGCAGTTAAAAAATGATAGGACCAAGATATTAAACAACAGTAATGTAAGTTCCTTGTTATTTTTCAGGACAGGGGCTATTAATCTTATGCTTTACTAGCTATGAATGGTAAACATTTAAAGGTAACCATTAAAAGAATGGAAATGGTTTATCATTTCAAAGACAGTAGGTAAGAGAAGAGGGAGTTGGATAAGAAAAAGAAAAAGAAGCACTTACGAAGTAAAAGCAAGTAAGAACGAAAAGGAAGACTAGAAAAAGGGAGAAAAGAACACCAAAGAAAAACAGTCCAAACAGTAACCAGGAAAAAAGTAAATAGACTACTCTTGCCAATTAAAAGACATATCATTAAAAAAAAAGAGCCAAAATCAGCCACCTACTACTTATGAGGTAACACCTAAGACATCACTAGACAGAAAGGTAGAAAGAAAAGGAACGGAAATAAATACCAGGCAAATTCCAGCCCCAAACAGCTGGGGTAGCTATATCACCATCAGAACAGCAGGACTTTACAACAAAAGTCTTAGTCAGGACTGTCAGGATCACTAGAAATAATCAATGATCCAATTCACTAGGAAGATACAACTATTTTTAGACTTGTATGTGCCTAATAAAATAGGCTCTAACTATATAAAGGCAGAATATATAAAGCAGAAACTGATAGAATTTGAGGTATTACAAGACAAATTGGCCATCACAGTGGGAAATTCAACATATTCATAAATCAGTATTTAGGTCATGCAGGCCAATCAGTAAATTTACAAAATTGGTAAAGTATAGAAGATGTGAACAAAATCGAGGTTGATTATTTGAAATATAACTCCAAATCCGAAAATTAAGAGAACACAGATTTTTCTCTAGCATACAATGGTAGATTTATAAAAACTGACCATGTTAACAACTTTAAAAGAAGTCTTATCAAATAAACCATATTGTCAGAACGCAAACAATTACACTGGAAGCCAGTCACCAAAGATGAAGAACAAGAACAAAACGCCCAGTCATTTGGAAATTTCAAAAGCAGCTGGAAATAACTCACAGATTAAAGAAGAAATCATAATGGAAGTTTAAGACACTTGGTGCTGAATACTCATGAAACTGCTACATATCAAAACTGCAGGTATGCAACCAAAATGGTACTTAGAAATATCTAAGCCTTGAATGCTTAAAAAAAGAAAAAAAGAGGCTATAACTTAAAGAACTAAACATCTAACTTACAAAGTTTGGAAAAGAACACAAAACAAACCTAAAAGACAAGTGTGAACACAAAAACTTTTATTCGTGTTCCACTGTCAGCTTCTAACAAAATGCGACAAACAGGCAGTACTGAAGGACGAAGCAGTAGGGAACACAAGCCCAAAGGGTGATTTGGGCAAGGCACATGTCAACAGAAAACAAAGGTTCACTTAATTATCAGACGAGCTTCCAGAAGAGGGAGTCAGGCTCAGTGGGTAGGAAAATCAGTTTCTGCAAACTGCAGATGTCCCTAACCAAAAAAATAAACCTAAATGCTTTTCGAATCACAGCACAGAAATAGCACGTCTAGCTGAAAGCTGATCCAAGATATTCTTTAAAAGCCAGACTAGCTGGATCATAGGGAGATTAAAAGATCTGAGTCCAAATTAACAGGACAAGGGAGGGAGAATCTGTTTAAAATAAAGCATCAATCTCATGTGAGAATAGCAATTCTCTTTTTAAACCTCCTCTTTGTTACTCCTAAAAATAAAATAACTGTCTTAGCAGAAAAATACCATTAACACCAGCCAGTAAACTTTATACATCCAAATACAAAATCATTTTAAAACCCAGCAGTTATATTTTAAGACAACTAGACCCAGTATAACTCTTTAATCAGCTGACTGGGCCACTTTGAAGCTCCCCATAAACAATCCGGAGCCCCGTCCTTTACAGCCAACTCACTTAAGAGACTTGTTCCTCGTGCTTACCAACTGCTCTGATCATACGTCTGCGACTGTGACGCTTTAATTCTGTAATCCCAATTCGCAATGCGGAGCCCAGCCCAGTCCACCTGCCCCACCAAACCTGATCAACTCACAGATCACGTTAACGCTAAAGGAGAGAGCCAAAATAACAGTCAGAGTATACCAACCTTGAAGTATTTTCTCCTTGTTAAATCTTGTTTCTCCACTAAAATAGAGAGAGGGGAAAAAACTTTTAATATCAAATTAGGTTATTTTGGGGACGAGAAAAAAAAATCAGCAATGAAAGGTAATGATACTCAAAAAGACGGCATATCAATTTTGTAACATACTTCATAATCTAACCTATAAAATTATAATTTATTCTAAACTAATATTTGCAATTATCTACTCTAATGTACTTAACGAGCTAAGAATTTCAAACTGCCTCAAATTAAAATGAATAGATCATAAATCAATCTTAAGTGAACTGCAGGTAGAAAATTCTATTAAAATATATATATAATTTTTGTTAAATAATCTTGTTATAATAATGTTGACCAAAACTACCTTCCCAGGCAGCAGGACCAAAACATGAAAGTCAGTCCGTTCACTGTGAAGGAACAAGTACGGGGAATCTGCATGGATGGGAAAGCAGCTCGCAACCCTTCAAATCCCCTGCCTTCTCTAGTTCCTAGATCTTCTCCAGCTGTTCCATTTTGTAGTGCCGAGAACTAGCTTGACGATCGCAATGAAGAATGGAGGTTTGGGTACCACACTTTTAAGAATTAGAAAACCAAACCAAAGCAAAACAACTGTGAAGCAACCAGAAGAGTGAAAGGACTGGAAACTGTCACAAAATAATAGGCAACCAAAGCTGGAAGAGAAGACAGTGGAGGGGGGTGGGTACCTGGCCAAGACTGGAACAGGGGGGACCTACAATGAAAGCAGGCGTCAAATGCACGGAAAGCTATCAAGGACAATTCAGGTGACACTCCCTGAGCTCCGTTTACGTGCTAAGTACAGTGCCGTGCAGGGGAGACACAGAGATGCAAAAGCCGTGTGGCTGCCCTGGAGAAAGGAGCCGCCTTGTTCTGTGTGGACACTGGACCTAGAATTGGAAATAGTGGGTAAAAACAGTAAACAAGTTTCCTCAGAGCAAGTTATTTTCTCACTTGGAATCAAATGTCTACAGCCCATATTTATATCCTTCTATGTCAATGAGAGGTGAAAATCCTTTAAAGTAAACTTCGTTGCCCTATATCAGGCTTGAGAAAAAAACTGCTTTGGCTCTACACTTACCAGCTGGGTTAATCTCAAGCGCCTCAGTGTCCTCGTCTGTAAATGGGGATAATAATCACAGGACTCGTGATACTCGAGTGAATATAGACAGGTAAAGCGTTTAGAGCACTGCTTAGCTTTTAGTAAGCACCCAATAATTATAGTTGTCAGTCATTTTTGGACAGAGCTACAGAGAAATCAAAGATTTAGCTTAATGCATTTTTAATCTTTTAAAAATGCTGAAATAAACAATATAAACAAATAACATAACTATAAAGCCAACACCCACATAAAACCACCCAAGCTAACAGATCACTGCCAGCCTCCTACGCCCTTTCCCACCACAATGCCCTCCCAGCCCAGTGGAACCACCACCTGGACGTCTGGACGCTCTGTGCTTTCCTTTCCAGCCCGTGAAGAGCGTAGATTAGTTTGCCTGTTGCTGAACTTTATAATGAATTGCGTCTTACTACAGTCGTTCTCCGTCATCTGCAGGGGATACATTCCAAGACCCCCAGTGGATGCCTGAAACGGCAGAGAGTACTGAACCCCATAAATACTATAGGCTCTCCTATATTAAGTACTTATCACACACTGTGGCCGTAACTTTTGCAGCCTGGGGTGCAACACAAAAACTAGCACGAATTACTTTTTCCTTGTTCACAATTTCACAGTTAGAAGATTGGTTCTTACTGTAGATCTGAGCAACCTCAGCATACGATTTTTTTCTTTGACCTTTTCACTTAAAGGAAGCACTTTATGGCTTCTCTTTGGCATCTCCGAATTGCCAGCATCTCTACTCTTGCACTTTGGAGCCATTATTAAGTAAAATAAAGGGTGTCAGAATACAAGCACTGCGATACCACAACAGTTGATCTGAGAACTAAGACAGCACTAAGCGACTAATGGGCAGGGAGCACATACAGCATAGATCCACTGGACAAAGGGATGAGTCACGTCCCGCCGGGATGGAACGAGATTTCATCATGCTACTCAGAATGGCGCACAATTTAAAACTTATGGATCGTCTATTTCTGGAATTTTCCATTTCATATTTTTAGACTGCAGTTGACCACAGGTCACCGAAACTGCAGAAAGCGAAGCCCTATATGAGGGAGGGCTACTGTATATGTAGCCTTCTGTGTGTTGCTTTTTTGGTTCAACATGTTTGTGAGATACTTCAAGACTGCTAAGTGGGGCTGTACTCCCTACATTCTCATTACGGTGTAACACGCCACTGTAAGAATTTACAACAAAGCATTCATGTGTTCTATTGTTGATAAGATATTTAGATTGTTTGCAGTTTGGGGCTATGCTGCCGCGAATGTGTTTGTACAGCGTGCATCAGACTCTCGAGGGCAGTGGTTCTTAAAGTATGGTCCCGTCCCAGCGTCACTGGCATTGCCTGGGAACTTGTAAAAACAAAAGTTCTCAGGCCCCATCCCAGACAAGAATCAGAAACTCAGAGGCTGGGGCCCAGCGATCTGTGTTTTAATAAACCCACCAGGTGGTTCTGATGCACGCTCATGTTTGAGAACCACTCAAGGATTGGTAAACAACTCTTTTTGTACACAGTTTTACTGGTATACAGTCACACCCATTTGTTTATATACTGTTTAAGGCTACTTTCACACCATACCAGCAGATTTGAGCAGTTCAGACAGACTGGCCTGCAGAGCCTAAACTATTTACTATCTGGCCTTTTAATTAAGAGTGTGCTGACCCAAGCACTAGAATTGCTGGGCCACAGGGTATGCAAACATTCAGCTTTACCAGACACTGAGAATGTGATTATACCAATTTATACCACACTGCCGTGCTCCACATCCTCACCAACACTTAGTCATGTAAGAGTTTTCAATTTGTGCCGATCTGGCACCAGAACAGTTTATTGCGCCTTGATTTTAATTTGTATCCCTGATTACTATGAAGGCTGATCCTGCTCTGTTTTCAAGGGAAGCATCAGTTTAAAAAGTAAAAAGTCTCACATGGGATTGATTTACTCAGATCCAGAAGGGAACTCCATCAGATCTTAAAGCCAGAATCACAAACTCAGGTCTCTGCCTGGAACATTGTCCCTTATTTACAAAAGACAGTTGCCGACCCCTGCCTAGAGCAGTGGTTCTTAAACTTGAGCATGTATCAGAATTCCGTGGTGGGCTTAATACAACCAAGACTGCCGGACCCGGCTACCATGTGCTCATTCTCCAAGACCCAACACAGGCAGCCAGCTCTTTTAGGTAGCCTTCCCTCCTCAGTACCATTCTCCACCTACCTATCCTATTTTTAAATACCCCACCTCTCTGCTCTCATTTTACCAGGGCACTACTACCATAAGGTATCATCTGTATGCTAATTAACTTTTCAGTTGTGTGTCTACTCTGGCTCCAGTTCCTTAAAGGCAGAGCCAGAGGTTGCACCACCCTAACATGCCACCACCTGGAGAAAGTTCTGGAAAATAACAGAAGCTCAGTGTACGTACTCTGCAATGGAAGGTCATCTGGAAATACCAAAGTGACAAATCTGTTTACCCTTTGCTCCAGCAACCCTATCACTGGAAATACCTGCATTCATCCCCATTTAAAAGAATATTTGCTACAGTATTATTTCTAATAGCAAAAGATGGTAAATAACCTACAAGTCCATTCACGGGGAACTGGTTACAGTAACAAACAGTGGGATATCTACTTAATGGAATACTATGTAACTGTGGCCCCTGAAAAGAGAGAGATTGTATCTAAAAATATGGAGAAATCACCAAGATACTTTATTAAGTAGAAAAAGCAAGATGCAAAATAATATAAAGAGACTATCTTTTTAGAAAGAAGAGAAATAAGAATAAACATTTGGATACGCACAAAGAAACACTGGAAAGATACAGAAGAAACTAATAAACATGGTCACCTACGGGGTGAGAGAAGGAGAACAGGAAGACTGGCAGAATTGATTTGATTACCAAATATGTGGAATTATTAGCTTTAAAAACTATATGACAAGTAACTGAAATTACACAGAACTAGTTACCAAGGATTTGCCATTACTATCGTTGTTGTCGTTAATATTAATGAAAGATTTCTTATACTGCAAAATTCACTCAGAATCATATAAAATGGTTGTGAAAGAGGATATTAACCTCTACCATTCAGACAGACAAAGCCTCCAGGGCAATGATGGGAAACTACCATTTCTGATACAGAAAATGGTTCCCAAACACTAGATTCACTTCCGATCCCAGCCTCATGGTCTTGCTGACACCAAGAATGAAAAAACTGCTGTTTAAATACAGGTGACATCCTCTTTAGATAGTGGCTTTGTGGCCAAGTTCAATTTCCAGCAAAATTCAAAGAACCACCCCCCTCAATCCCACATTTACTTTTATGCAGGAACCTCAAAAGGTTTTGCCTACTTTCTGTGGATCACAAGCTCTCTTGCTCATTTCATGAATTTAAAATCAAGGGTGAGGGGAAACTTAATAATTTTGCCAGTCCAGGTCTCTACAAATCACAGAAAATCAGCAGAGATGATAATTTTTTGTATGCCTGGTAAAAAGCTCAAGATCTTAATTTAATCCCAAGAGCTGATTTGATAAAAAAGATTCAGAATAAAAGATTATATCATCAAAATTGTCATCTTATAAAAAATGGAATCTCACCACTTTGATAGCTTTGTAATGGCACTGCCCCACCATCTAACCATTTTTGGTGAAAGGAGAAAAAATAGCTATAATATAACAAAAGGTTTCCTTTAGCTTGAGGTCAGTAGAGACTGCTGCAAACATTATTCTATTATTAACCTTCACTGGCATTCTAATGGGCATTTTGCCTTCAAATCACTTTATAAATATTACAGAGTAGGACTCTAGAAATAGAATTTATTTCCAAAAACATTCATAAATATTTAGCTTTACAGCTTTTATCAGCCTATCAAGAAGTTTGTATAAATCCTTGAAGCAACCATTTAAAGTAAGTGTTCTGGGGGAGTGGGAGAGAAAAGCGGGTGACTAAAATAGTTTTACTGTTAATCTACTTCCCAATTAACCAAAGTTTGGCTTGTGACAGTGGCAGAGAAGGTGGAGGGAAGCTGAAAAGTCAGAGGAATATATTTTGAAGGAGTTAGGAATAACACCACTCATTTTCAAAATCTACAGTGTGACCCACTTCCAAAACAGAACACTCGACTCTGCAAGAATCCAAATGCTTATGCCAAGAAGTTGTCTTATGACCAGCCATTTATAGGCCTACAAATATGCATCATCCGTTTTGTAGATTATCACACTGTTCTTCACTTAAAAAGATATTTTATTTTGTTAGTTCTGGTCTATATTCTATGGCATTTCTTTAGAAATCAGATAGAAATCTTAATTTCCCAATCATATCATTTTAAAAGTTCAATTCAATAGACAAGTACTCAGTTTGCCACGAGAGAGACAAATCATGAGAAATTAGTATGCATTTGGGACAAGTTTTCAAAATATCCATGCTTTAGCGTACACGGAAATGTAAAGCCTCACCTACCGCTTGATCATGAATCCAGCTTTATCCTAATTGCTCTACAACAATTAATTCACTTTAAAATATAGAAGATTTCAAGGATGGGTAACACAGAGTCTTTCCCTAGATGGTTGAGGGGAAAAAGAATATAAGATACCCAACCCATGATATATTTTTGTTTACATAGAGATTAGCCTTGGTGGCAAAGGATCTCCCAACCGATCAACTCCATTCCCAGAAAACAAACATCACAGTAACACAACAATTACATACGTCTCTGAAAGTTTACAGACAATCTAATATTTATTTTTCTCGCTTTGTTAATGACCAGAACAATGATTAACATTCAACAAAACGTAAGTTAACTGATGCTAGAGGTAGAGTAAGAAAAACAAATCAGTTTTGCTAGCAATAATTTCACTAAGTTATCAACTTTAAGTTATTAAAAGTAAATTAAATTCAGTTTGTAAAACTTTAAGAGTTAAAAATAGAAGTGAAATTTGGATGATTTTTCAGGCAACTGATTGCAAACACCTACAAACACCATTTCAAGGGAACTAGGGCCTTCACCGTGTTGTGTAGGTGATGGAAATGCCAACCTACCTACTGGAGTTGTCAACACTGCTGTGCCACATAAGATCATGAGAACTTGCAGTTTAACAATATCAGTAAACTTCAAGTTCGAAATGTTGGGCATTCTACCCCAAAAATGATACATACTGGTACTTTCACTTCCAAATATGATGAAGAAAGATAAACACACATACAGTAACAGCACAAGATTCATAAAGAATTCAGCTGACTTAAAGAAAGCGCTTTTTGAAAAAGTTTTCTTGCATTGTCTGAAGAGGCACTGTTCAAGAAAATCATCCAACTCTTAAAAAACATTGATCGTGCCTTCAGCTCCAAAGTATCTGACTATCTCAAAGAGTTATCCAGAATCAGGTAATAGAAAACTCAAGCGCAGATTCTCAATATTACGCTAAATGATCCAATCTCGCTGATTCCAATAAGTCATTATATTTAACTATGGTGATTATCAATCAAGATACAAATCGCTTCTTCTCCTGAAAGAACCACCAATTTTTAGCTTTGAGAACTCTGAAAGAGAAAAGAGAGATGATCTAAACAAGAAAGCAGCTAACCCTAACTCTAGCAATTATTTCAACAGCTTCATTCCACTTTCTCACGAATAAAACAGAACAAAGCAAACTATTCTTATCACTCTTCACCATTATATTAGGAGAAATAAAAAGTAGCCTCTAAAATGGCTGGTGATATTCAAAAAATCTACAAACACTTTGCTTTAACCCAATAAACTAGGAGGCGGAAGGGTAGGTACAGTGGTTAAAAGGATGGGCTGTAGAGTCAAGTTGCGTTGGTTCAGATCCTGCCTCCCCAGCTTGCCATGTACTTTAAGTAAGTTACGCACGCTGTGTGTTCCCTCACTTGCTAATTCAGGAGCAATCCTTACCTAACTGGATTGTTATCAGAAGTTAATTACAACAGGGCCTAGCACATAATAATTTATTAAGACTTTTTTTATTTTTATTTTTTGCTGAGGAAGATCGGCCCTGAGCAAACATCTCTGCCAATCTTCCTCTAGTTTTGTATGTGGGACACCACCACAGCATGGCTTGATGAGCAATGTGTAGGTCTGTGCCCAGGATCTGAACCCACGAACCCCAGGCCACTAAAGTGGTGCACACGAACTTAACCACTATACCACTGGGCCAGCCCCAAGACTTATTTTTTAACTGGTTTCTACAGAAACCGTATGAGGAATCAATTAAAAAATCAAGCCCTTCTGAAGAAGCAGAGAAGGGATAAAATCCACACTCATATAACTATTGTCTATTAAGAATCTAGATAGGGATCACCTGATTTTTCAAGAGGGCGGTTTAACTCAGATGTTCCACAACTTCTGAGCTTCAATTACATGCCAGACACTGTGCTGACTGCGTCAAGATATCAGAAACTGCTCTAACATTGGAAGAAAGGACAATCAGGACTCTGGTCCCTGTTCTGCTACTGACTGGCTGTATGACCTTAAGTAGGTCATAAAATGGTCATAAAGCATTCTAGAAAATGGAGAGAGGTGGTGGAGAAGAGATAGAGAGGAACTCGATTTCTAGTTTAGTTATTAAAATCCTGTGTATGGTAAAGGGACAACTTCAGATGGTTCCCAAGATTGTGGTCTTATAAAAGAAGAAGACAGAAAAGATGGCAGGTAAAGTCAGCTTGACAAGGTTAAATCATATTAGTGTCCCTTGTGAGCTCCATGAAGTCAAAAATGGTATCTTATTTGTCTGTGTAACCCAGTCCACTGGCACATAGCACCTACGCAAAATGCTGGCTTAGTAAACTACACAGACATATTGGAGGACTAACCACATTTTTATTAGAGCTGTCCTTATAGAAACAGAAGTTATTTCATTCTCAGATATACTTCTTCCCCTCCATTGTGCTACACACTTTACCTTTCTCCCATTTAATTCTCAAACTAACGCAGTGAGGTAGGTACTATCATTATCCCCATTTTATATATAGCGAAACCGAGATCGGAAAGATTAAGTCAGTTAACAAAAGGCCAGGTTAGGAGCCTCCTAAGTGGAGCCTGAATCCTAACCTAGGTCTATCTTGCTTGAAAAATCTGTGCTCTCTTAACCACCTTGAATTTCACTTCCTATTAACAGTCGGCAAAGGAGTGTTGAGAAGGAAAAAGATAAGAAACATAAAAACCTATCAGCATTTAGCTCCCAGTAATGTTAAGATAAAAATATTTGTTCGGGGTGATGCGGTAGGCTGAGATGAGGGCGGAGGCCCCTTTTTCTCTCTCAGAAATGTAATCTCTTGGGGGAAGAAATAAATCTCAAATATATGTCTGTGGGGCTGTCTGTCCTGGCAAACAAGGGGGAACAGCAGAGACGGGGAGAGCGGAAGGCAGGCAGCCAGCTTTAGAACTCTCAGCCTTGGACGAGCTATCCTGCAAACTCTTTAGGATCCGCTGGGGACCAAAACGGTGCACTGAGAAGTCCAGAGACAAGGCTGTCTTTCTTGAGCTTTAGCTCTGCCACCAAGTGGCCGGGAGCCTTGATCATTTTACACTCATCCAGCCCTCAGTCTCCCCCTCTGTAACACAGGACTGACGTTATCTAACACCTGCCTTCTGGCTCAGCGTTGCTGGGGGGAGGGGAAATCGAAATGGAACAGCACGTACGAAAACACCTGGAAAATAGCCCGGTGCAGGCTACCCCTCTGAGGAGTGAGCAAGCAGGGAAGAGAGGGGATGACAATCAACGGTCCCTTCACCCACTCCAAAACACACTCAATAAAAGGCACCCCGCGACAGCAATACTCACTGCCGGACAACGGTCAGAGCGAAGCGCGTCATCATGCTGGCCCCGGACGGAGAGGAGCACAGGCCACGGCTCGGTCCCCCGCCCAGCGCCGCCGGCCGCTCTGCACTGCGGGCTCAGGGCGCCCACACCACTTCCGCCAACCCCCGCCGGCCTGCCGGCTCCGCGGCCATAGGCCGAGGCGGCCGCCTACGTCATCTCCCGAAGGCCAATCAGGGCGGTGGGAAGCCGACAGGTCGGAGGAGACTGGTGGGAGGCGAGGCCCCGCCCAGGGCCGCGGCGCTTGCGCCCCTGCGCGCGGGCCCGTGATTGGTGCGCGCAGGTGCGGGCGGGCCCGCCCCGGAGAGCGCGGTGGAAGCCGTTCTTGCCCGGGCAAGCTCGAAAGCTGGAGGCTGCGGATAGATAAGGCAGCCGACGCCCGGATTTGGGGTTGATCTGATTTCAGGCTGGACTGCAGCCAGGAGTCTTACCTCGGTGGTGTACAGCCTAGTACAGTGGGCCCAAGGGGCTTAGCTGTTCACGCCTGCTGAACACCTTGGCTGTAGGGTCCGCAAGGTCTGCGGACTTAGACCGACCCACGTTCAGTCCCCAACTGCGCCTTGACAGACGCCCTCCTGGAGCAAGCTTTAGTCAGGCTCTTTTGAACCCACTTCTAGACTAGGCCTCACGCCCCTGTGTTACCAAAGAATCCTGCTCAGCCAGGATATCAGAATCTCTTCGCCCTTGGTATCTAATCAAGTTCCTCTTCCTGTGCTCTTGATTTCTAATCAAGTTCCTCTTCCCTCTCACCCCTGATAGCTAAGTAAGTTCCTCTTAGTAATTTTCCGTTCTCTCCCTCACCCTGAGCTCTGGCTATAAATCTCCACTGGTCCCGGTCGTATTTGGAGTTGAATTCAATCTCCCCCCATTGCGACAGTCTTGATCCCTATTGCAATGGTCTTGAGTAAAGTACCCGCCCTCCCACATGCCGCCCCTGTTTGTTAAAGAGAGTCCGATGAAAAATTTCTCTTTAACACCCTTCAGGGCCTTGATAACTGAGTTGCTTAACCTCTCTAATGCTCAACTGCATAATAGGGAAAATGGGTAACTGTACCTAGCCATGACACAGGTAAAGCTTACAACATTACATTGGTAAAGCTTAATAATGTTACCCTTACAATGTTTTCCATGCATTTTTACCTAAATTCTCGTATTTGATATGCATTTTCCCCCCTGAATCCCCAATTATATACAAGAAGATGGGTTTAGAGAACTTAAGTGATGCATGGGACCCTTAGCACTACAGCCACACATTTCAAAACAGTGCCACATGTATAATCCCATTTGGCCCCCAGAATAACTCTGAGGTACACAGGGTAGGCTGTATTTTTTTCACTTAAGAGATGAGATAGCTGGCCTACAGAGAAAGTAAGCAATTTGTCTAGGCTCACAGTTTGCCGGTGGTTACACAGGACTAGGTCAGAGATTCTCAAACCGGCTTGCACACTGGAATCATCTAGGACTTTCTGAATGTCAGGCTGCACCCGAGAAAAATACAGTCCGAACTTCTGTGGGAGGGACCCAGGCATCGGTAATTTTTTAAATTCCCAGCTGTTTCCAACGGGTAGCCAGTTTTGAGAGCTCGAAGTTTAAAGCAGTGCTTCTCAAACCTCAGTTTGCATACACATCACCTGGCGGTCCTGTTAAAATGCTGATTCTGATTTAGTAGGTCTGGAGTGGGGGCCAAATTCAGCACCTCTAACAAGCTCCCAGGGAAACGTGAGGCATTTTCAGAATGAGATTTTCCAGAGGGATCATCCAGAGGGCACTAATAGTGGGCCCAGATTACCAGGAGGGTACACTGCCTGTACATAGTAGATACTCTATATTTATGTTCTGATGCCTGAATGAACAAATCAGTCCAAAAGAGTCTCCTGGAAATTTGAACTAGAAAAATGAAATTAATTAGGTAGTTATCTGTAATGGCTAAAGCACAAAGAAAACAGAGTGAGAAACCATGAGCTAGAGTTAGAGATATGAAGGCGCATGTAGGCTGAAGCTGTGAAGAAACAGAACCACAAATAATACGAGCTTGAGAACAGATCCACAGAGCAGAGGATAAGAACAAGCAAAGGTAATGGAAGAAGGAACGACACACAGAGAGAAGCAGACACAAGTGAGTGATGCAGAGACCGCCTGGTCCCCAGTCCCTCAAGCCGCCATAGTACCACAGACCTTGTAGGTTCTAGTTTTTTCGATAAAACCCCTTTCTCTTTAAGGTGGTCTGAGTGCATTTCTGAAGCCTAATTAAAAAGAGCTTCCCACTTTGTCTCATTTAATGCTCACAATGACTCTGCAAGGAATGAGTTATTATTTCCAGTTTACAGATAAAGAAACTAAGGCACATAGAGATTAGTCAATTTCCTATGTCTCAAGATCTCAGAACTGGGTTTGACCCCGAGTAAGTGTGCTCCAGGTGGTATCAAAATTATAACGATGAGAGTCAGAGTTGGCTCTGTTCCGTTAGTTCCCTGACTCCCAGCAAAATGTTTGGAACATGGTAGGGACTCAACTAAAATGTGTTAAATGAATAAATGAAGAATATCTTTTATGATCAATTTGTCAAATGAATCATACATCTAAAAAGTTAGCTGATACAATGGAAGAGAATTGTATTAGGAGAAATTTAGAAATTAAAAAGCAATATTAATTTTAAAATTATCTAAGAAATATATATAAAACAGTGTTTTCATAAACTTTAAGAATCAGGGGAAAAAGCCAGTTGAGAAATGAGGATCTTTGAAAGAACACACATTATCCTACATTCTTCATTCAGTGGTTCAAGGATTGCCCTTCAGCTTATAAAATGAACAGGGAGTTCACTTAAACTTTGTTTAGATAGATGCTAGAAATAACCACTGATATACTTTTGTTGGCAACTTATCAAATCACACATACCTTTTTTTTTTTTAAATGAAAAAGAGTGCTTTTTTGTGTGGCACATTGTATGATGGAATTCTGAATTAGTGAGGATAGGCCAAGTTATTCTGAGGTACCAAGTTAACACTGAAATTTCTGTGGCTTACCACATAAAAGTTTATTTCTTCCTCATGCTAAGTGTCTGACATGGATCAGAAAGGGGCTTTGCTCTGCATAGTCAGTCAGGGACTAGGACTGACAGACACGTTGACTTTAACACATGGACTCATGATTACTGGGGCAGGAGAGGTGTGCTTGTGAAGAATGTGGATTCACTCATTATTTGGTGCACAGTTCCATATATGTCTGAATCAAGCTTATTTATAGTGTTGTTCAAATCTTCAATAAGAAAGAAATGAAAGAAAGGAAGGCAGGGAGAAAGAAAGGAAGGAAGAAACAAAAGAAAAATCTAAAACCTTAAAAAAAAAAGTTTCCGTAGGCTCTGTCACCAGATCACGTCTTGAGTCCAGCAATTCTTGTGGCCCCACTACATCCAATGTTAAGGCTCCATCGCCTCTTGTCTGAATGACTGTCAGGGCCTCTTTGGCTATAGCTCTGCTGCTTATACTCTTGTCCCCTATAAAACATCCCCTCCTCAGCCATCAAAGTGATGTCCTTATAATCGTATCATGTCACTCCCTTGCTGGAAAAGTTCTCTAATGGATTCTCATTGCAACTAAACTCTTAAAAGGCCTGTGTGATTTTGCCCCTCTCCAGGTCTCCAGTCCCATTTCCCTCTGCACTCTCCTCTTCACCAAGCTCCATTCGGAACGGCTTCTCTCTGTTCCTAGACCACGTCATGCTCATTCCTGTCTCAGAGCCTTTAGATTTTCTGTTCCTTCTGCTTACAAAACTCTTTCACAAGATATTTGGATGGCCACCTCCTTCTCGGCCTTCAGATCTTAACTCAAAATTCACCTCCTCAAAAGGGCTTCCTGCAAGCACAAAGGCCTGCCCAGTTGATATGTATCGTCCTACGGTAGAGCACTTCCATCTGAAATTACATCATTTATGTACTGTTTTTACAGGTTCATAGCCTGTCTCTCTCTGCTTGAACGTAGGTTCCCTGAGGGTGGGGACTATCTTGTTCTCTTCTGTCTTCAGTGCCTAGAAGAGTGCCAGACACATTGTTGGAGCCCAACCAATATTTGTCATCATTAGAAATCATGTTCCTAAAGAATATTTAATAATATGGTAACATTCACCTGATATGTGATTAAACGAAAAAAAAGGATAGAAAACTTTTCACTATAAGCCTGATTTTATAAGAAAAAATACATTAAAAAAAAGAGAAGAATAAACATGTCATTTGTATCAAGGGTTTCTCTATTTATAATGTTATAATACTATGACATACTATAATGTTATAATATTTATAATGTTAAAAATGCTTGTGCTATCCTATTATTAAAGGGTTTTTTCCATAGATATATGCATATAATTAAGCAAAATATCTTTCATAAGGAAAATTATCCAGAGGGTGGATACGACAGAATGTATATATTGTTCTATGTATGTGGCCACTCATACATGCTAAGGCAAGCCGACTTACTATTACTACCATTTAATAGAGTACAACTCTGAATATTCCACAAGAAATCTTAGTGGATGGGTATGTGTGTCCTTGGTATTTGTTCTGTTTACTTCTGATAGTGTCACTTTATGATTCTAAGAAAATGCAATTTAAGACTCACCAGAATAGAGACAAGAAGATTTTAAGTTTAAGACTGAAAATGGACAGACAACGCTGACATCAGATATTAGTATAAACTGAGAGTCTTCAGGACCAACTGAGAATTGTGGTTTTGCAATTACCCAAGTTACACCCCTACTTTGCTTGTTCCTTCTATTGCTTTTAAGTTGGAAATTAAAGTGGTTTATGCAAATTTAATAAGAGAAAGTCTTGGACTTTGACTGGCAGGGATTTTCCTGCACCTCCCACTGTCATAATTGATTACATGCTGTACCCTGATGGAGGAACAGAAATTCTAGGCCAACAGAAAATCACAAATACATGGTAAACCATCTGCTTTGTCCAGCGACTGAGAAATAATAATGTGACCAATGATCCAAGCAAGACAGGGCTGCCAGTCCAACTGTGCCCATTCCTCCATCAGCTTGATGTCTGCAGGCAGAGGGAGATTTATTTTGGCAGCCACTCTGCCAACATCTGAC